TCTTAAATCCATAAATCTCAGGCCAGGTCTTTTAAGATAGAAATGCGATACTGTGGTTCAATTTCGTTTTTATCCTTTTCCAAGTTTCTTTAAATTTTTGTTTAATAATACTAGGGCCTACTACTAATAGTAACAATAATAATCACAATAATGATGATGATGATGATGACGATAGTAATAATTGATAATAATATTAATTGCAATTAAAAGTGAAGAAAATTGTGCTAAATGCGAAAAAAAGTTGTGATTTGTTGATTATAATATAGTATATATAGTTAAAGCTTAGTAAGTTATAGTTAGGCCTAAGTTGTCCTGGATATTAAGTAGATCCCTAGTAAAAGATCATGAGAAATTTGTTGGCGTTTCATTTTGACTATAATGGTGATGTGATGATGACGAATTTTACTATATAAAATTGTCATTTCCGGCCATCTCGAGAGGTACTATTTCCTCAAATGTTTTCACCTCAGGCCCAGCCATGGTGGGGCTGAGGTGGTTGTGAAATCACGTTTTTGAAGTAGGCCTATGTAAAGTACATTCTCAAATACAATGTTTTTAAGCTTTGTTTTCTGTGGTATATCACACACATTAATAAGATCTCTACGGTTGTCAAAAATCCCTGATAAAAGATCATGAGAATTTTTTTTTTTTTGCGCTTCATTTTGACTAATGGTGATGTGATGATGATGAATTTTACTAAAAGTGTCATTTCTGGCCATCTAGAGGTACTATTTCCTCAAATTTTCTCACCTCAGCTTCAACCATGGTGGGGCTGAGGTGGGTGTCAACTCATAAAATGCCCTCCCCTCCACCTTTCAAAATACACTGTTATTTTCAAGGAGTTATTTCAACTCACCATGGGGAGTAAGAACAACTCCCTAAGGGAGAGTAAATTATGTGGGGTTATTTTAACTCCTTAAATGGTATTAAATTAACTCAATGGGGGGAGTAAAATTTAAAGTTACTCCTATACAGAGTTATTTTCACTCCACCCTTATATAAGGTTATAATTTTGGAGTCAATTTTACTCCAGTTATTTGGTTGGTTGGGTTAAAGTAACTCTATATTTAGAGTAAAAAAAGAGGAGTTAAAATAACTCATCCACTTGGAGTTAAATTGACCCTCAATTATAGAAAATCTGTGTTGATAGATGAGCAATTTTTACTCCAATGTTATTTTACTGCCAGAGTTGAGCAATTGTGCCTCCATCTGTGATTCCATATTCTTGTCTTGTTTAACATAAAATTGTGCCAGCATTTCTCCACAATTAGATATATGCTAACTAACACAGTAATAATAATAAAGAATGTTATAATAAATAATTTAATTAATAATACAGTACCCTAATTTTATAATGTAATAATAATGTAATCATTCTGCAATGTGGTATTACTATAATAATAATAATAATTAGTAATGATACTGTTATTAATTTATAATATTATTAAGATGCTGCCATCCAATCCCAATTGAGAAAACTGCACAAATTTAGTGTGTATTTGGCCCCATTTGAATAATGACCAAGAATTTTATTGTAACCAAGTTGTGAAACAAGTTTATAAAAACTAAAACTACTAGATTTGCTGATCATATATATTTGGACATTCAATATGCACCCAATTTTCAGTTTATTTATTTATTCATTGGCATCATTGCCAAGGAGACGCAAACGCAAGAAGCACACTTGCACTGGAAGGATGTGCGATTTAATTCAATTTTTTAATTAACTTCATATAAATCGTATTCACCATTCAAGCCATCTAGGTATAATCATAATAATTCACCTCAGCATTACAACAAAATAATATATATGTAGCAATTAAATAAAAAATATACAGTACCGATCGCGGGCAGTGCACTTTTTTCATGCAGGGTATCACGTTCCACATCCTCCACCTCCCTGCGCTGGCAAAACCAGCCTGCGGTGTTCAAAGATTATAAAAAGAACATTATTATTGATTTAAACCTACCAGCGGTGCCAGTGAGCATGCAGTCTGGACTAAGCACACAAAATGCAAGGACTTTTTTTGTACAAAAAACATTTTTGGTTCATAGCTAACAATTTCAGATAAGCCTAAAAGGTAAATTTGCATTAGAATCATCGAACATTATCATCCATTTCAACAGAAAATGATATTAAGCCTACCACACAAATTAATTAGCTTACAATTTCAGATAGGGCTAATAAAGGTAAATTTGTATTAGAATCATCAACATTATCATCCATCTCAACAGAAAATGATATTAATTAGCTTACAATTTCAGATAGGGCTAATAAAGGTAAATTTGTATTAGAATCATCAACATTATCATCCATCTCAACAGAAAATGATATTAAGCCTACAAGACAAATTAATTAGATCACTTTAAAGTATTATTTATAGGTCTACCTATATATATTATATTGACTTATGTCACATATGTCAATACATACAGGTAGGTCAATACATAGGTATGCATAAAAGGAACATACTGTACTGTCAGACAAATCTAATACACAGTATATTTAAATTATTTTCCAATATCTTAATACATTATAGGTAAATTTTTTTAATTAGAAAATTGGAAAACGTGATGTACTACACTACTGGTAGTAAACTCAGAAATAGTCATGCATTTATGGAGGCAGAAGTCTGTACTATACAGCATGCCAAAAAAGTAAAAGAATATTTAGCCTGCGGGCACCACAGCTTGCCTGCGGGTACCATGTACAAAAAAGTGCGCTGCCAGCGATCGGTACTGTATTACTCATTGATTATAATAAGTTCAAAAAGTAATCAAAAGTCTATCACATTTATTAGAAAACCATGCTTTTGTCTGTCACTGATTAAACTACCGTAATGTACTTTGTCATTAAATTAAATGTCACTGCCAAATTGCTTATTTATTTGGCTAATTGTTTATTGGAATACTATTTGTAACATCTTTAGACAGTTTAAGAAAAACAAATCACATAATGATATCCACAATGTAGAGTTTTAAAAATTGTTACATTTGGTTGTACTTTGAGTTTTGTAATAATAATTATACAGTATAAACTTCAATATAACAAAATAGAGTAATAAGTTAGTAGCGCCAATAGTTACATACCAAAAAACGTATTTAAAAATGTCAATTTGGTTAATTGTTTGGTTTGGATTATGGAGAGCAATTTAAAAAGTACATTTTCATTAAACTTTTCATTACCTTGCAATGTCCCTATGGAAAATAGCTCAGGGTGTTCCTATTTTAAACATGGCTACAGGATTAATGCATGCTCACGTTTGATTACTAATAAAATCCTTGAAGGTAAGCACCATTCAATAAAGCACCATCAATAACAATTATTATACAACGCTTGTATATATTCTATTAACGTGATTGGTTGAAAACAGGTCACGTGAAATTGATTTAAAATGAATATTCCGTGGTTATTTGAGTACTAGTCAACAATCGTTGAATAGTACTTTTTCATCTCCAAGACGACAAAAATCTCAATGCAATGCAAGCTAGAAAAATTAGCCTAGCCTAGGCAACCCGCACGTCAACAAGGAGTTGGTCATTCAGTAGCCCTCGCTCCGTCAATAAAATGGCAGGTCCATTTGGTACTGCACTGGGCCATTTGTACTTTTGAGCGAAGAAGGTTTGGAGGAATTACTGAATGAAAGTTATGCCGAATCAACAAAAAAGGAAATAAAATATGCAGTTAACTGTATACAGTATTTTGCCAGCTTCAGCGGTGAGGATTTGAGTCTGTTATTAGCCGAACCTGAACTTGATCGATTCTAGGTCTGCCTTAGGCCTACACTAGGCCACTTTTATGCCGACCTTCGAAAGGAACATGGGTCCTTGTATTCAAAGAAGAGCATGCAGGTGATCCGGAGAGATAGAGCAAGGTGTTGTATAAAACAAATAATGTATGTTTCTTATTCGTACAATGCCTCGGCGAAATATTGGATGTCCTATTCAACTCAGCTACGCCTCGATGAATAGAGAACATCCAATCTTTAAACCCCACGAAATATTCTACCCTAATGCACTCATAAACATTCCTTATTTTGTATAATAAACCATCACATACACATGTATTTCCAAAGGTCAGTGGCTATTGGTCCCTTGAGCTACATGAAAAATAATCATAACAAAAATACAGAAGAACTCTGTTAAGGGGACACCTTAGTGACCAAAAAAAAAAAAAAGTGCCCATTTAATAGAAATATGTAAAATATAGTGCAAAAATATAAATACTTTAAACGTGGACCAGATACAGGACTATGTATAAACCTCAAGGCAGCAACAACATACTGTATGCTGCGTTTCTCCATAAAGAAAAATTTTAAATGTTAGAGGATGGGTTTAAATCAAATCAATTTGTGGCATAACGACGAGTCATAGGAAAGAAAGTGTTGGGGCCCCATACTGTATAGTAATCGATTACAGGTGTCACAAAAGTGGCCCCTATACATTAGAATATCAAACAATACCATAGCCTGATAACTAAAATTTAATTTGAATTCTCTGAAAATCCAGTAGCCTATTACTTCATTATTTCCGACAAGGCCAATTTAAATTTCAGATTGTAGTAGAGCCTGCCTGTGGAACATTTTGGGTCGGGAATTGTTATTGTATAAAACAAGTGGTGTTGTGGGGTTTACTTAGGACATTTGTGAGTTAGAAACCTGGAATATTGTTTTAATTTGCCAGTTTTTGTGCATTCTACAGGACCATAATTTCAAGGGTCATGTTTATTAATAAAAGGGATATCAGGGGCCCCTTTCAACTGGGAGCTCGGCCCAAGAGCCCGTAGGCGTTACGCCCGTAGCCATAGCAAGAGCTAGGAGTAAAGGACCAGCCACTGCCGAGAACCATAGGGTAAAGCTCATCCACAAAAAATCTTAATTGACTAAATGTTGAATAATTAACACAATTAACAATAACGAAATACTTTAAATTAGTGTTCAATCAGAGAACCTCTACAATCATGGAGTCCTGTAAATATCGTGGCTAAAGCCGGCACACTCACAGCGTCGCACAAAGGTCGTACGACCGTCGAATCAAACTCCGCTCCCCGTTAGCATTTGACGATGCGACATCGTTTGCTCTGTTGCGCATGCGTTGTGGCATTGTATTCTCTTTAGAATCGCATTGGCCGACAACCGTCGGAGGCAGTGAGTGGCTGGCTTAAGTGAAATTTACACTAGACACGATAACAACACGACAATGACATATCATCGCGTTGTTTACATTCTTCAACACTGAGCGCATTTTTACCGTGTCGTTATCGTGTCTAGTGTAAATGTAGCTTTAACATGTACTAGGCTTTTGTAAACAAGCCCTTTTTTATCCATTTGCGAATGTTATGGTAATGGACTATATAACTCAATGCTGATCAGCCATCTTTAAACTATTCGTATACCAAAATTGGAGATAACTTCAATCCTTTGCGAAAACTAGTCTGTAAAGTATCTCAATTTTACAATGTGGCTATTAAAACTATTCACGATTTTGTCAAATGATTATATAAAACTATCACCTTATTATCTACTGTATTCAAATGTTTCCATTATATTAGGAAATGCAAATAAGCGATCAAGTAAAAATTTAAAACACTTGCTTGAAACATTCAAAGCTATATAAAATTGAAATCATGTTTGAATTTATGTGATATCAGTCTAATAATTATAAATTTAGAAATATGTCAATTTTTGAAGGCTTGGGTGCCAAATCTTCTATTTTTCAAGATGATCAAATCATGATCCAAGTTACAATAGCTTCACAAACCCAACTGTTTGCTTTTGATTCACAAGCCAGTTTTTGTTTACGCTATTGAAGTTAACTACTACAAGTACTTTGCTGTCCAGTACTGTAAAATCAATTGTCTAAAAAAGCAGATAAGTGTACCAGAAGAATAACATTTCTCGATGTGAAAAGTATTGTTAAGAGTTCAAATCCGGCTGGGAGTTGGCTACCTGTTGAACTTCCTCATGTACTGACGACGGCTGGGAGTTGGCTATCTGTTCAACCTCCTCATTTATTGACGGTGGCTGGGAGTTGACTATCTGTTCAACCTCCTCATCTATTGATGGCGGCTGGGAGTTGACTATCTGTTCAACTTCCTCATCTATTGACAGCTCTTCTTTTTTTACCTCATGCTTTTTCTGGTGAAGGGCTAACTTGTCCTTGCGACTAAACTGCTGACCACAAAAATGACATTGGTATGGTTTTAGCCCCGTGTGTATTCTCTCATGACGCACTAAATGACTCCGACCTATGAAACCCATTCCACATTCCGAGCAGACGTGCGGTTTTTCGCCACTATGGATTTTTGAATGAGCTTTTAGACTTCCCTTACCAGGGAAGTTTTTACCACACTGTTCACACTGGAAGAAGCTTCCACCCCGATGTGTCTTTTCGTGACGTATGAGATGTTCTTGCCGGCTGAAGCCCTTACCACACTGATCACAAAATGCTGATTTCAAGCCAGAATGGCCGACTTCGTGCCGTAGCATGTGACTACGTCGCTTAAACCCTTTACCGCATTCTCCGCACTTGAATGGCTTATCAATCGAATGCGTGAGCACATGTGCTTTTAAATCATCCACTTGTTCAAACTTTTCACTACATTGTCCGCAGTAGTGATACGTGCCATCGCCTTCATGAGATTTCGCATGCCCTTTCATTTCTTCCTCCGTGGTGAATTTCACGTTGCAGTCATCGCATTCGAACAGAGCAATTCCCTCATGATTTTTCTCAGTGTGTTTCGTCATGTGCTCGCGTCGTGTAAAACCTTTTCCACAATGGCCACATTTGTATGGTTTTCTACCAGTGTGGATCAACTGATGTCTAAGCATGTGACTACGTCGTGTGAACCGTTTGCTACACTCAGCACATTGGTGAGCTTTCTCAAGCTTGACTTTTTCTTGAGATACGACTTCAAGGTTTGGATCAGGTATATCCTCCTCATCCTCACAGGGAAAAGACATGGTGCCTAGTCAATCTGTCTGTATGTGGCTATTTTTTAAAAACACGTAGTTATTATCTTATCACTGCACTCAAGCCTCTGTCAAATGACCCATTGTGGTCTACTTTTCCTGTAAAGAAAGCAGGTAAAAATATTAGTTAGAAATATGATCCATATAAATGTACACATACAGAACAATGTTAAATATTTTAATTATCTGACAATGAAAAATATATAAAGAAAATATTGGATTATACAATAATTTCTTAAAATTAAATTAAAATGCTCCATCAGCAAGAAGTTGCTGTGGGCTCTGGCTTTACTGCAGCAATTTATTCGTCTACAACAACAATCAACAGGTTTATTACATTACAACAGTTTTATTGTTCTTAAGTGTAAAATCTGTAGCTAGGCCTAAAGCTTTGTCTACACTATCAAATTTCATCAAAAAATGTGTCACATAAAATTTGATGGAACATAGAGTTGAACACGTTCAACTTTTTTTGATACAGTTTGATGACATGTGGTATGACGTCATCGTACCCATATATGGGCACATCGCATTTTTTTTGTTACAAAAAATATGATAGTGTAGACAAAGATTAAGCCTGGGTTAAGCAACTTGACAGCTAAAAGCTTGCTGTTGATCCTGGGGCTTACCACAGCAGTGGAAGACCCTTTCTACAGCAATTGCTGTCGGTGCTGTCGGGAAATTCGAACTCTGTGACATCAGTGTGTTTCAAGTGCTACCTCACATTGATTTAATATTCTAAAGTATCAACCTGGCTAATGGACCATTCCGCTACAGTAAGCCTCGCCCCTTGGATATTGTTGCTAAGGTCACACAAAATTTTTAAAATAAAGTTCTCTGAAGGTTAACTACAGAATTTACAGTACGCTGTAGTTAATGTGTTATAGGTTGTAAAAACTGTATTGAGTAAAAAAAATCATTTGAAATTGTTATTTTTTTTTTAATAATTTAATCTGTAGCTTCCAGGGACCATATTGGACCTTATTATGAAATGCCCCTCCCCCCCCCAACTTTTGAAAACGTTCTGCCGCCATTGACTTTTAACTCTAGGCATAGGCTGGGTCTACTACTACTAAGAAAGTACTAACTATTATAGCCTAGCCTAAAGAAAGTAAATTCAGTGTAGGCTACAGGTAGGAGGCCTAGCCAAGCCTTTAAAATAGGCCTAGGCCCTAAACTAGGCCTAGGCCTAGGCCCCTCCTAGGGCCTAGGCTAGCCTAATAAATCCGAAATAATTATCGCCACTGTGACATTAAGCAGAATTCTACTTTTAATTTGTTGTCATGGTGCAATGAATAAATACATACATGGCCAAGCTCAAAATTAGATAAATCACGAGCCTAGGTCTAGGCCCAGAAGCTTCCAAACAACCACATGATGATCAAGCAATGGATGGAAAGATTTCTACCGTCTTCCCTCTGTCCTTTAGCTAGCTACCTGCAGCCTAGGCCTAGCCTAGCTGCTGTAGATAGTGTAGATAGGCTTAAAAGGTAGGTATCAGAGGAACCTCACAACTACAAGTACTGTGATTTCATTTGTTTTACAAATACCTGCTTGATGACAATTTGAAGAAGTTTTGTTAAACGTTTTATGTATATTTTGTCAATTAACGATGATGCTTAGAAAATAGCTTTGTAAATAAATTCTCCAATCACTAACTCGAAATATCCACCATTGTGTTGTGATTTTGATTTTTTGACATTTGGCCTCTTTCATTCTACGTCATTCTCGACGTTTTTTTTATTTTTTTTTTTTTTTTTTTTTTTTTATGATGATGATGATAATAATAATAATAACTCAATAATAATATAATACTGCATCATTGCCAACGTACATTTCCCTACGTTTGTCAGGTACCAAGGACACCATAATGAGACTAATTAGAGGACCAGTTACCACAATAAGGGAGTCGGGCGTTCGTCGGGAGGAAAAAGAAAATGTATTTCAAAGCCCGTAGCCAAGATTTTGGTAGGGGGGTTCTTTTTGATACTGAAAGGGCACTTGCGAGCACCATTGAAAGCACTTCATGAAAGGGGGGGGGGGTTCGTTCGAACCAAACGAATTCCCCTGGCTACCGAGCTTGTATTTTGTAATGCAAGACTGTAGATTATGCTAAATATAGCCTTTCAAATCTCTAAATTGGCCTTTCAGGTTCTGGGATGCGCCTGGCACCGCCCACAGTCCCATTTTCTAGCGTCTCTGGGAAATCGGTCCTCGTCAGGAATACTCTTCCCCCTCCCCAGGCTCCAGTTGCGATCACACACCTCGTTGGACAAATCTGGACCTACACACAATCAACGTTATCTTCGTCGATTCAGGCTGGTCAAACAACAGGCCAGGGTTAACAACTTCTGGGACAGGCTAAACATTCTGGTCTTATTTATCTTATTTATTTTATAAAGTCGGCATATTTATATATAAAAAGACATAAAGAAAGAAGTACAAAAAGACAGCTACAATCGACTCAAAATTATAATAGTTTATTCCATTTGTTTAAATATTGAGAGCCATAATTTCTTATTTAAAGTTAATTCTATTGGCTTTTGCAATAATCTGAATTTTATTGTACCGTATACAGTATACTCGCGTATTCAGTCGAGGCTTAAAATAACAATTCAAGATCGAAAACACAGGGGCACGACAATTAATTAGCAGTGACGGCGCCAGGATTTCCCCGACCGGGGGGGGGGGGGGGTCCGCCGGGGGGGGGGGGGTGTCCAGTGTCCCCGACGGGAGGGCTGATGTCCCCGACGAGAAAAAAGTGGGAGTGGGCGTCGCTAACTAAAAACATGTTGAAAATGGTCCATCCGAAAATATGACAATTTAGGGGTTTCAAAGGCTTACGGTAATCGATTTTAGAGTTTATTAAAATGTACAAAATACATTATAAATTTTTTGATTTTTTTTTTCGCCCCAACGAATTGTGGTTTTTCTTCCCGGGGGGGGGGGGTGCTATAGCCCTGCCTAGCTCCCCCACCTCCCCCGTAGCGCCGTCACTGATTAGTTCTAAATCATGTTCATCTTTGTGCGGACCGTCTGTAAACACGGGGAAGCCTACTCTGCAATGAAGCTATATGCCTGTACTACTGTAATTTTTGTACACAATTAAGTAGGGGAAAATAAAATTTAAGAACTCATAAAATGGTATTATTTTGGAAGATTAGCTTGCATTTGGCTCTGTTTTCAGCCAGCAGCTAGGTGCATACTGTATTAAGACAGAGCAGAAAAAAATTCCGACGATGAAACACTGGGGGTAGTCTTAATTGTACGTCCGATATACAAAAGTCGTCCAAAAACCTTCTAAAACTCGGGTCGTCTTATACGCGAGTAGCTTCTACTGGATGGTTCACCTTTAAATATGGTTCAATAAATGAATGAATTAATAGATAGATACCAGGTAGAGAAATACATAAATAAACAAATAAATAAGTTGTCTTGATTCTTAATTAAAATGGACATAAGCTGGTATGCTTATACCACTGAGAAAATAGACACCTATACGTATATTTTGTATCTATATAAACTACGGTATCTCGTCAATAGGATTTCGTTTTTTAGTGTAGCCTACTAACTTTCATAATACTAGGCCTATGATTCCAATCCAACAGTAACCTGCACAAAGCTCAATTATTGGCACCTCAAGTTGATGTGTTTATTGTTAGAATGTTACAAGCAAAACATGATTGAGCTACAGAACGATCTCCTATTGGTCAGTATGCATCACATAATTATAATTATCTGATATTAGGGCACATAGAAAAAATTATTAGATTATCACTCTTTAAAAACAGATTGTTGAAAGGACGGTTTTTTTGTTGTTGTTTTTTTTTAATTGGAACAATACAGTAGATTATAGTTTTGTTTTTATCGATGATGAGGGAGGGACTGTTTATATTTGGTGTGTAATAGTAAATATTGTATAAAAACTGGTTTGATTTTATAGTTTTTAAAAGAAAATGTATTTGATGTCACAAAATAGCATTGTTATTCTTATGCTGTTGAAATAATTAATACGGCAAAACATTTTTTTACCCCCGCATCAATATTTTCCAAATTTTTGACGCGGGCGGGAGTGATAATCTAATAAATTTTTCTATTTGCCCTTACATAAACGAAATTATAAACCAACTATTATTAATTGTTTATTTCTGTTTCTTTGACATTCATTTACATTTCAAAAAGAAGCCCATCCTATCTTGATTAGATGCCCATGGGTTTCTTTTCGAGCTGGACTCTTTTCAAGATTACTTTTGCAAACTAAGGGTGGCGGGGGTGGTGGTGGGGAGCTTCTGTTCGATCCGATGGGCATCTTCTCGAGATTACGGTATTTTTCATGCCTTGAAATGTTGGCAGCAAATACAAGAACATTTTTTGTATTAGTAAAACATCTATCAATTATTGAAAACTGATTTTTACTTCGATCTGTGATTTATTTTAAGTGTATAAATATTATTTTTATTTAATTCATTTTTTGGTTAGGATTTTCCCCTCAGAGCCGTAGTCTGTTTCCACTAATTTAATAGCGCCATCTATTGGTCCAAAGTTTTTTTTTTTGTTTTTTTTTTACGACGAATGATTCATCCCATCATCATCGCGCGCGGACTGTTGGTTCGCACGTTTTTGGGGGACATACAGTACGAAACATAAACAAAGAAAAGACAGCATCCTTTCAATCGATATGGTGAGCTAGTGTGGTTATGATGGTGGTTAAAAGATGTCTTTAGAAACCCTCTTATTTGTGCCAAGTTCTTAATTTATGTAGAGGATACTATATTAATTACATTAATTTGGCAATAAACTGGTAAGTTTTTTTAGTTTACTTTCAGGCAGTGTTAATATTACAGGTATGGTTGGGCTTAACTTAGGCCTAGGCCTAGCTAGACGTAGGCCTAGTCTGCCAGCGAAGCCTGGGTGTGGAGGGGGCCTAGCAAGCCTGGCTCTCGTGTTGGCTTTCTGGCTGTCTATTGACATTGATAAGCCAAGTCTTTGCCAGGTGTAGGATAGCCAGGTTTCTGGACAAAACGGCAATAGGCCTAAACCAAAACGGCAAATAAGTCAAAACGGCAATGACCAAAACAAAACGGCAAAAAACCAAAACGGCAACACTTTTTGACCAGAACAAGGCAATTCAACAGAAGGACGCACATCTCGGGACATCAAAGGTTATAACTCTGGCATCGACATTCTAGGCGCATGTGCATCCCTACACGCTGAACGTCACAAATACCATAACAACCAGACCATAAACCGTCAGCGTACATACGAATTACCCATGCGCGTGTTAGTTGCCATGATAATCGCGTGTCGTGCGGTGATTATAAAGGCCTAATGATATTTTGCACTAACTTTAGACTGAAAATATATTCTTCATTTCAACATTAATTTTACCAAAATTGTGGTGAATTGTCGTTCATGAGACTCACTTCGCAGAAAAAATGTTCCGTATATACTCAAATGTTCGTTCTCGGCACCTTATGCCAACATTGTCAAAATGACAGATTAATGTTACATAAGAACATGAAATTTTATATAATTCGTAAATTTTAAATTGCTATAACTTTTCATTTTCTAAACAAATAGAACTTTCAAATACAGACAAAATGAGGCTAAACAATTTATGTCATAAAAGTTTAAAAATGCGAAAATAATAATAAACATTGAAAGTGGGAAAAAGAACCCATGGCATCAATTTGCCTATCGGGACAATTTCAAAATGATTCAAAAACTTATAAACTGTGGCGCACACCCAGTGGTGCTTGCTAGTCTTGTAGTTCATTTCGCTCCTTTTTGCCATTTTGGTCTACAGGTATGCCGTTTTGGTAATTGTCATTGCCTTTTTGGTCTGTTGCCGTTTTGTTAATTGTCATTGCCGTTTTGGTTCATTGCCGTTTTGATTATTGATTGCCGTTTTGGTCATTGCCGTTTTGGTTTATTGCCGTTTTGTCCTGTTACCATAGCCTACTTGTCGTGTTAATACTATGATACTTTTTCAACCATTGACTATATGTTACTGTATTATAAACCTTAAATTGTATAGCAAATTCATACTCTGATAGTTGGGGGTGGGGGCTGGGCTAGACTAGGACTAGGCTAGGCTATAAAATGCAGGCCTAAGCCCTTGGCTAGTAGTAGGGCCTAGTAGGAGATACTGCTGTAAAGTTTTAATTGCTGTAAACTTTTAATACGATATCTAAAAAAATCAGCTCAGGAAAATAGCTATCTTAATTCTTAGAATCTTACTTATTTTTATTATTTTCATTTCCTTATTTTATTTATTTATTTTAATATCTTGTTAATTTATTATTTTTGTAAGTATTCTCATTATTAAATTGTAATTATATTAATATTAAATGTATTCCTAACTATTTATTTAAGAAAAATATATTTGTTATTATTATTAATACTATTAATTTATTATTATTATTATTATTATTATTATTATTATTATTATTTATTATTTATTATTTATTATTATTATTATTATTTTACTATTACAAATTAATTATTATTTTTTTCTTTATTTTTATCAAACAAACTGGAAACAAATTAAAAATATTAAAATGGCAAGAGTGTAAATCTATCTAAATTTTACATTTCATGATCAATTAAAATTAGATAATTATAATTTTTAATAACAATGTAACAAACTTTTGAAGTGTTTAAACTATTTTAATATTGTAATGATTATGTTGGTATTTGGTATTCCTTATGCTTTGTAATTACTTTACAGCTCTTTACTTTCAATTGCTTTCAATTTAGTAATGAATAAAGTAAGATATCTTTATAGGCTTTTATATGATCTTCTTTTTATACATGGTTCACAATATTTCAAACTACCGTGATATTTTTTTCACATCTGCGATTTGTGACAGGCTTTTTCTATGTTTATCAACTATACACCTGTTGTGTTATCACCTCCCTTCAGTTTCAATAATTTAAATAAATTTCCTTTTACAGAAGTTTGAATGAAGTAGAGTTTAAGGGAAATAATAATGGAGTCAGTTATAGACACTATTGCGGGAAGTATGGAGTCGCATTTAGTACCGAGGTCAATATCACCCGCATCGCTACTGGACGTAGACTTGGACGGGGATTCAATTTCCGAAGATTTCTACTCTGAGCATAGCCTGAGGAACTCTTTAATCAACGATGAAACGGATGCTTCAAGTTTAGCACATGCAAACAACCGAGTACAGAGGGAGCGTTCAAATTCATGTGGATCACAAACTGATGTTTCCTCGCTTTCCATGGAAGACCTTTATGTACCCATAGTAGGATATGAAGTCATGGAGCAACGGGCAAGATTCACAGTAAGCATTTTGTTTATCTTATTAGTACCTAAAGCTCAGGTTCTTGGTGCACATGTTTTTGTCAATAAGTTTAATCTCATATACAGTAGGAAGGAGTGATGTTTTGCCCAATATCATAATGAATATTCAGGACGTCCCCAAATACTTGCAAAAAAATTTGCAGGTGATTCGGATGGGAATCGAACCCACAACCTTCAGATAAGTAGCCTGGTGTCAAAACCACTAGACCACTGAGCTTGCGCTTAGTGAGTAGTGTTGAATCCTATCCCTAAGCGCAGTGGGAACTAAGTATTTCGATATGTTTGCATCAGGAAATGAAAGGAGTGATGTTTTGCACTACATCATTGTTATATTTTTTTGACACTTCATACACCGACGTTCTTACTGTACTGTAAGTGAGGTGAAAGAAATGATAAATTGTGAATTTTTAATCAATGTGAACAAGCACAGAGATTATAGTTAAAGATTGATCTCTACAAGCAAAGAGGCCATCCACTCAACCAAAACAAATTTCGCCATAAAGGATTACAATATTTTCGCCTGACTTCCCTATTACAATGTCCATCTAAATAATTATGAACTCAAGCCAATTCAAGCAAAAACTTTGTTAACTGTGCCAGCCTAAAAACAATATTTTTTAGGCTAAAAAGTGGAGTAATGATGTGGACTAGCAAGCATTCTGTACAACCCACCATTGTCCTGCATTAATTGCCCAAACAGGGTTGTTTACACCAGTTGCTCACTCCATTTTACACTTCATTGAACATTTCAACTTGAAAGCTCATTTTAAAAAATATATAAACAGAGGCTTATTTAAGCTTCAAATTAATTAGCAAAACAAAAAAATCTAGGATTGTAGAAAAATAATACCAAACTGTACCTTCCTACATACAGGTATATACATCTACCCACTACACTCAAAAATTAATACTGTATTTTAAAGTTTAATAAAGGCATCATATCAAGTTTAACTATTTTTAATGGTTTATTGTTGATGACTCAGTTGAAAAACATAATTTTGAACAATAAAAAGTTGACTCGTGGCAGTAGTAACGTTTCTGAATCCAATTTTTTTATTGGAGGTTTGAAACATTTTTATGCTTTCTTTGATAATAATTTGGAGAACTACCATAAATCAGTCAGTCATTCATTTGATTACAAATCCAAGAAGTCTGCTGAAATACAGTGGTTACATTTAGTGTAGTAATTATGTTTTGATTTAATGTTAAAGAGTATGATTTTTAGTTAATTTCAAATATTCATGTGATACCGATTACTATACTTGTGCTTTCACACACGATTGTGAATTGCGATTCGGTTGTTGGAGTTGCTAAAACCGATCGCAATGCGATGCTACAGTAGTTTGAATAGGGTATTAGAGAATCTGGGTTTCACAATGGATGGACCAATGTACAAGCAATGTCAACCTAAATATAGAAATACATTATATATCAGAAATTGGACAAGTGTCAGAGTCTGCCAACAGTTTAAAAATTTATTTATTTTATTAAATTTTGGTATAAATATCCATCTTATAAAACTGAAAGACTGGGTATAACTGTGTTGCACAAGGAAAGAACATTCAATGCAATAGAACACAAAGGTCTAATGTATGCACACACAGAAAAAAAGATTATTAATAAAACAATCATGTTTTCATATTCATATAATTCTCAATTAGCATGCAGGTACTGGTAGGCATTTATATGCAATGAATGTTGAGTTTTGTATCAGTATCCAATTAATATCAAAATACAGAAAAGGAAATTTACAGGTACTCTACATATTTATCAATACCCGAGACACATAACACAGAACTTCATATTAATATCAAACACCCCATTAAAAATAATAATATAAATTACTGAAAGTATGATTTTTGTTTACAAACACAATCATTAGTTAATATCAGTATAAACTGTACTATCAGGTAAAAAAAATTAGTATCCATGTGGTGCCAACAATATTAGAAACTTGTTCATGTGGATAAAAAATTAACAAAACCCCAGACAAAATTACATTTAAACCCTTTTTAGTTCAACGGTTGACAATTGAATTACAATATAAATATTTTAAGAAGCCATTTAATGGAGCAAAGTTGTTCACAAGACTGGAAAGTCTGTCACTCAACTGCGTTCTACACCATGCCTATTCACTGCATGACGTGTAGACTGGGTTCCAGTCCCTAAACTTTGTCTTAATCAGTCAAAAACCTGGAAAAATCAATTTTGGCACCAGTGGCGTTCCTTATTACCTATTTGCTTGGCGTTTCATAGTGATACTTTTTCTTGGATTCGGGACTGGGCAAACAGTGAGGATTTCGATTGCAGCCACCACGATTTCGTGGTGTATGACGTATTTAACAACTTTGATTTCCGATTGGCTAATTACCGCGGCATAAATTAAACATGCTAATTATGCTTCACCTCTGCCCAGCTAATGATAAGGAGGATTCAGGTCAGCTCAGCTTGTGCACCGTGACAAGTGCTAGGCCCCTAATCACAATTCGTCCAACCATGTACAGTATGGAGGTAATATTTAAACGCACCTTCACAACAGAAGTGTGCCACATAGAAAGTAACCAACTTCATGCTGGGTAATAAATACAGTATTATTAATATCGATATACAGTAATCTCTAACTCGCATCAAAAAAGTTTCTCGACATAAACTGACACTGGTGGCGCTTTCCGGAATGTGCTGATACTATGAAAAATTAATAAATTAGAGACTTGTGCCAAGTCTACATGACGTGGGCTGTGTAGTGATTCTACATATCATGTTTTGTCTACAGTGAGGATACAAAAGGTTTACACTGTACTGTATTAATAACTAAATCTGTGGTTTTACCTAATTTGATTTCTAATTTGTCACTGTTTTAATTTGCCTGTTGATGGTTATAATTCATTAATTTCTTTTCCTGAATCATTTTTAATACAAAAATGTACCAAAGAAAATCCATTAACAAACATACAGAAGAATTTACAGTCACATGAAAGAGAATTGTCTCAACTATAACATACTCAAAGTTGGGAGACACTCGATCAAGGATAAGTAAGATACGCTCAAATGAGTATTTTAACAAATGACGTCATAGATAAAAATTCGGTTTTTTAAATTCAGATGGTAATATGATGACGTTACAATGTCCGATCAGCCATTATTAAAACTATAAAATCATATCACACAAAAAGTCACCTGCAAAACTTAGATATAAATCTATCTGCTAGGATAGAACCTGTGCCGTTTTTGAGAATAGTCATGAACAAAAAATGAGAGAAAGAATAAAAAAGGAGAAATAAATAATAAATAAATAAAGAAGAAAAATAGAACAACAGTAGGTGATACGCGTATCACCTAATGACAGTGAAATAACTGAATAAAAAGTATCAACAATACCTTAAGAAATACACACACACACACAAAAATTGAGGGTAACAATCAGAATGATGATTATGTTAAAAATAATTAATGATGTTTGTTAGAATAATAATGAAAATGATTTTGATTTGATTGACATTGAAAACCTAAAATAATAATTAGTTTTATCGTTTTGTTGATAAATAATTAGTAGTTGATAATAGTACCCAAACTAGTTTACCAATATTGATATTGTAATTAAGATAATAAATTCCAAATACAGTGACACATATTAATTACTGTATTTTAAATTAATGTTTATACAAAATTGGAGGATTCTGTATAGTGTAGTTCAGTAGTTTAAAGTAAAACATTAAATAATTGTAAAACTGTAGAGGATTTCATGCATTTGGTTATTTTTCAGTGATCTTAATTATTGTAGTCAACAACATAAACACTGCCATTTTGACATGACAAAATGATTTTTTTAGTGAGAATCTGAATATGGTTCAAGAAATAAATACAAATAAAATTGAAAATTATTGAAGAGGGAATCAGGAAATTGTTGAAGTCTTTTGTGACAGGGCGAGAGGATAATCCCCCATGACAATATGAAGTGATCTACTGTAACCTTGGCCCCATTGGCTAAAGGTCTGCCTACAGTACATAAAAGGCTTCAATGTTATTGGATTAGGTACCTACTGTATTGTACAATACAAGTAACGTGTTGAGTACATTTTATAGAAATTAATCATAATTTATATTAAGTATACTGTATCCTTGTACTTTGTGTATACATCGGGGTTTTTTTTAATTATTATTTGACTTGCTATTTCTAAGCAAGTATAGTATATGGTACACCACAATGCTGTGAATTGTGAGTTGGCGGCCTTGTACCTTAAACCAGTCTGAGTCTCAAAGTCAGGGTCATGACCCAAAAATCAGTTTGTCTATAAATAACTTTTGGATACAGTTTGTGTAACATGTCCATGGACATAAACAATGAATTTAAATAATAAATAAACTTAAATTTAAAAAAATAATGAATGCATGAATAATATTTATTATAATTGATCAGACAATCATGCTAGGAAGAGACTGGTACTTGTCCCATGTTTAGCCCTGAAATCAGCACTCACCTAATTATTAAAGTGCCAATGAGTGCGAAGATAAATATGTATTCCATTGAAGTCAAATTTGGTAAATTTTAAAGCCATTGCAAAAATGGACTGGTGCTAATTTAATTATAGTATATGGGGCTTACCATACCATGCCAAAACCACCATCAGTTTACAATACATCAAAATTGACTATTTAATTTAATATTTTCCACATTTTTTAAGTTTTAAAATAATGGGTCATTTTATGGAATGGACTTACTATTGCAAAAGTTATGAGTACAGTAAAGCTTAGTTTCTATACAATCGCTACACCCTATCGCCGACAGCTTTCGGTGATGCTGATTGGTCACTTGAATCGAAGAGTCTTTCCGATTGCATCGGAGACTGCTACACAGTACGATTGCAAATACTGTAATGACAGTTTAGCAAATTTAAGGAAACCAAGGTTTTTAAGTATTACGGATTCTCTGAACTGAAGTATACAATTACTGCCACACTCTATGCTAATTACTTGGTTTGAGTTTGACAGTTAGCCACAGTACATTACGCTGGTTTTGGGATGGCATGTGGCTGCCTCATATACACTGTACAGCATGTTCCAGGGGCGGATCCAGAGATGTCCAAAAGGGGGGCTGAAAGAGGGGCCAAAAGTTGGGCCAATCGAGACAAGACAACACTCTACTCTACTCTACTCTACTCTATATGCCCGAGAATAAAATTTGAGGCGTTCTGGGCTATCATTTTTTTTTTTTTTTTTTTTTTACCTCCCAAAAGTGGGGGCCAGTGCATGGCCGCCAACCCCCCTAAATCCCCCCCCCCCTTGTCATCCTTGTTGAAAATTATCAAGAAAATCTGGATCAGGCCCCTGCTCAGAAAAAGGCCTTTTGAATTAAGAGGGTATTTATAGAAAATCTCTATAATTAGTTCCACAGAACATCATTGTATAGTCATCATCAGAGCTACCGTACTGTACCTTGGACCCCCACTGAGGTGCTTGGCATCTCCCAGTTATTGGCTGTTTGCTGTGCTTAAAAATTCTTGTTTTTCTCAAGCGTTTTTTCCCTCCAACCTTTTTATTCATAAATAAAACATTGGAAATGCTAGTTTACTTGACTAACAAGCTTTCAAGCACCCTGTGCTCTTTCACCGGAAGAAGAACCCTCATCACTATCGTCTATTGGCTCATACCTTATTTACTTTCTTTATACAGAAATATTATTATTATTCAAGTGGTATCAGATATAAAATACAAGATATAGATTGAAGAGATATCTTTGATAATAATTATTAGTTAGGCTTCAGTTAATGTCTATTATATATTATATTTAATTATTATTTTTATTTCATTTTTAAATTATAATTATCAATATCTTCAGTAAGATTGTTTTGTATTAAACTGCCTACCTTCATATTATTATCTCATGCCCATCTATCTGTTAAATGTGTAATTACCAAATAATGCATTATTCATAAAACAGGTTGGTAATCAAAAACAAGAACGAGTTCATGTGCAAAATTCTAACTACTTAGAGTAAAATATTATGCAATAAGTAAATGAATACTGTAAAAACTGACTAACTATTTTGAATATAGTTTTGTATTATATTTTCAAAGTTCGGAAAAATTGCAGCTAGACAAGTAAAGATTATATAATTCTTACATTTGTTTCACACTTACTTATTTTCAGGTTTTCAAAATACATGTACGGAAATCCCCAACAGAAAATTGGTTTGTGTTTCGACGTTACACAGACTTTGTGAGATTGAATAATAAGGTACTGTATTATAAATTGAAAGTACATGAAATTATAAATCATCATTAAGTGCCAACATAAGGGTATTTCCTTCATTGTAGTTTACATTACAGTACTATGTGGTTGAGATACTCTAGCCTAAGCTACAGTGTCATTGATGGATGATTGATGATTATGCTAAAATCATCAACTGCTTGAAACAAAACCAAAATAACTTCCTCATCAGGTAGACTAAGGCTATGTTCAAACTCAATGAATTACGCTAGTGTAACGCTAATCGAGTAGTGTGAAATTGTGCACGGTGTAGCGAACACCAGTATTAAAGTGTAGTCACTGGCGTATGATAATCCACAAACAAACCCCAGATTAGCGTACAGTACACCGCTGGGTTACGACAGCAGTCATGCATTAATGATTTTGAACTTGGCCAGGATTTGACCAATCACAATAAGCCTAGATATGTACTGTAAACAGGAAATAAATTGAATGATTACGATACAAATATTTTGCGCAAATACTTTAATGCTAATGTTCTTTAATCCCCCAGTCTTGACATCTCACTAGTTACGCAATGGATTGATGCCCGCCGTTATATTACCCCTGGCGTATCTCTCAGTTCTGAACATAGCCAAAGTCTAGTGCCTTCAACAAATTCATAGTTCTTTTCGTTGTTTTTTTTTTTTACACTGAAATTACCCCAAACAAGGCTCGAAATCCATTTCTATCTAGGTAAGGGGCTACTTAAACTACTATTTATGTGCCATGAAATGCTTGCAGCTACAGTAGTAGGGCTGAAACATAGCCTGAGCCACTTCACAGCCTGTCAACAATGCAAGCTGGTATTTCAACTACTGTTCTATCAGAGTAGCTAGTGTTCATATGCTATCTTCTATTCCATTGCAACTTCCTTAAAAGTGTTTGATGTTACACAACTTCCTCATTATCTTTGAATATGTAACTGGTAAATGTTGATACTAGTGCTCACTGCAGCTGCCGCGGCTCCTCAATGCTCCGGCAAAGGGCCCTTCCAATTTCAAATATTTGTGATTGGACAATAAAGGAGAAAATTATTATTTATTTTATTTCAGTTTTGTTTTTTCTTCTAGTTATGTATCATTTATATATACCTCTACTGTGTTGACCGTTATGATTCAATGTACTTTTGAACTTTGAACTTTGATAACATGGCTCCAGCTTCACAACTCTCAATAGCCAACAGTCAAATCATAACAGGAGCTGGTACCATAAAGTAATTTATGTGAGATAGTGTGCCGAGTTTAATATTACTGTATAAATTTCCCAAGGTGCCCTTCTATTCATAAGTGGCAATGTTTTATTTGGTTCGTCCAAAAGGCTGTGCGCTCATGGATAGCACGTGATAGGAAACAAGTAGTTCTACAATAAGTAATTGCTGCAGCCTAATATAGAATCTACAGTACACATACCATTAGTTGGCATCATTCTATTATTATAGGCCCTACATTCCTGTACTTAATGTGTACAACTGTATTAATTGATCAATACAGCTGAGGTTACTAGGTAACATCTTGTTGGACGGTAATTGTATTGATGTACAGTATGTCCATTGAGGTACAGGAAGGCAGAGATGGAATTGATTTATAGTACTCTTCCATATTAAATTGAAAAAGTAGTGATGTTCATTCATTGGTTTCCCAACCTCGAGGTCGGGGTCCTTCCCTGTGCATTTCCATTGTGCCCTTGAGCAAGGCACTTTATCTACATTGCTTCAGTCTACCCAGCTATCAATGTGTAACAGCAAACTACTGGGAGTAACCAGCGGTGGACCAGCGTCCCATCAAGGGGGAGCATCACCCTCATCCGGTTTACGCGACTTGAAACTATGGATGAGTTCACCCCTATGGGCCCTAATGGCTTGGCAAGAATTTACTTGTTTATATCTGAATATTATTCAACTTACTATGCAGTACTCTCAAAGATATTTGGAAACCTTAACGGTAACATAATTATATTTCATTAATCTGTCCTTTAATATTAACTTGCGCTATGTGTTAAATAAGCTGTACATTCTTTATGTAATATTCTAATTTTGTTATTCTATAATTAAATTCCATGTGAACTGAGTTGTACAGTACATAAATTGTTAATTAATTATTCTTCTTTCATATATTCTTGGCATGCAGATTCTAAAAAAATTAAAAAAAATAAAACTTAACTGATTATTAAATAACAATATGCAAATTATGGCAATACTATGTGTAAAGGTTAGAGTTTAAATTAAAATGTCAACTGAAACCCTTCTCATTCTCATATCATATCTGCAAATTATGGGTGTGTCCAATATAATCCTCTGATATAATCTTCCGTATGCTTACTGTATTTCGCATAACCAGGGTTATCAAACTTTCCGTATGACCAATGAGGATGCTTTTTGAGAAAAGACATCTTTAGATTAAAATGCAATGAATGTTTTTCGTTTGAGATGTAGCATTATAAATTTTAACAGAGAATGGTTATTGCGAAATAAGATGCTATGCAATTATTTAAAATTTTCGACTGAAGTGATTGATAATTGCAGAGTTACTGCATCGGCTGAATCATTCTGTTGCTATTGTTCAGTAAATCCATCGCTGTGAGCACTTGATGACATGACACTTTTTGTGTTTACTAATTGTCAGTGGCAGTATGAGTAGTTCATCATTAAAAACAATCAGTTGCTACCAATGGGCTGTCTAGGAATCTTGAAATGTAAAGGAGGTTGATTGGGGGCATGGTGCGTAAAGGTAAATTGGGGGTGGGAGGTTGATGATTAAGTGGAGATTGATGATTAAGTGGAGAGTTTGCAACATAAATTGATAGGAGGTGGTTTTCATCTACTTGTTGAGCATGATTTTTTTTGCTTCAAACTTTTTCAGTGTGGATTGGGGTGGAGCGGGTGGGGGGTGGTTGTTGGCAGCCAACAAAGGAGGGAAATAAGTTTTTTTAGGGGTAGTGCACCCCTAGATATACTACCGGGTTGAGGCATGTATCATCACTTTGTGTTCATCATGGCATTGTTTGGACTGGAGACAATCTGCACAATGAGTGGCCAGCTTTAGGTTTTTATCATTAGTCTTAGAATGTTGCAGGATTTGACCCTTAGATTTTAACAATGTTTTTCTCTTCTGTTTTCAGCTGAAGAGGTTGTTCCCAAGTTTCCGGTTGGCGTTGCCGCCCAAGAGATGGTTCGGTGACAATTATGATCCTAATTTTCTTGAAGATAGGCAACTAGGCTTGCAAGCTTTCATTAACAACATTACAAGTCAAACTGCTTGGTTTATACAGTAGTTTAGGTGATTTAATGCCGGTTAATACACTCCATGATAACTATTGATGTTACAGTGCCCCCCCCCCCCCAGTACCACCTCTCTACTTTGCTAAAGTAGCCTCAAAAAGAATCTCGTCTCGAAAAGAAGCCCATCCAAAGTTCGCAAAAAAAAACAAAAACCAAGAAGCTGCACAGGTCTTCAATTTGAGATTTTACGGAATTACATGTCTTGTGTGTATACTGCAGATCGTGGTGAAAAACCTCAGGTTACTGTATACAGTACTGGTAAAAGCAAAACCGAAAGAGTGTCACCTGCCTGTGAAGGGTAATTTAGTCTGCTGTGTAGAGAACACTGTAAAAATCCTTTAAATTGAAACTTGAAATTAAGAATTAAATATTACTGTACTACTAGTTGTCATGTGAGTTGTATTGCTGATAACAAAGCAATTGACTTAACCTGGCTGTATCTAAAATATAGATAAAGCTTACATCGTACAATGATATCAGTGGCCTTACATTAATAATCGCATGCAGTGCAATGTAGTGTTTTTAGTCAAAGTCCATTGTTGTTTAATTGCCATCACAACATGTGTGGAGGTCATACATTATTTCGTCATTATTAAGAGCGTGAAAATCATGTGACCCCCCTTCTAGCTGTGTGATGATTATGGTCATTTTGAGATCTTAATTTTTAATTATTTTTTGTTTGTATTAATTAAAAGATTACATACACTGCGAATATAGATGTGTTGTGCTCTAGAAAAATTATGAAAAACAGTAGACCGTAGGTGAATTAATAAATATTACAGTATTTTACAGTAGTTAGCTGGTGTAATGCTTTCTACCTATTTTGGTAGAAGTAGGCAAATTGAAGTTTATAAGAATTAAATAAGGCCAAAAAAAAATATACTTGTTTAGCATCACACCCTCAGGAATTTTCAGGGGCTGGGGGGGGGGGGGGGGGTATTTTTTTTTTTTTTTTTTGCTGGCCTAGGCCCCTAATGTGTAGGCTTCTTAGGCCTAGAGATTTCAAAAACTGCATTGGTGCCAAGCCAAATCTTTTACAAAGGCTATAACAGACTCTAAATTTTACATAAAAGATTTGTTTGTACAATATTTATTTTAATAAGCATTGTGGTTCCGTAGGCTAACTGCTGCACTGCTAGGCTAGGCCAGGTAGGCCTAGCCATACTTACTAGCTAGGGGTCTAGGCCTAGTTAGGTAGTACTTAGGCTAGGCCTAAAACATCTGCCAATTGAAGCGTAGGTCGTAACCTATTATTTTTCTTCATAGTACTTTATTATTATCATATTTAAAACATTGTTTATTATTTAAAAAGAACCAAATAAAAAACATGTACGCCTACGATCAAATTGTCCCGCGATTTCTGTCAACAAGCACACATAGTGTGAGGAATCTATTTTTTTTTCTGCCGAAAAAGAAAACACACTTGGTGGCGCACTTCACATCTGGTTCCCTGTGCTGAAGATGGAAAAAACGATCGTTTTTCCTCTATTATCGGCATTTTTTAGTCGATTTTCAGCACTTTTTTACCAAAAAGAAAAAAAAGAGAGGCGGCTAGAAAATCAGGGTCGGGTGGTGACGCTAAACAAGTATTTTTTTTTTTTTGGCCTAATACTGATATATTATAATTATTGGAGATTATTAATAGATAGAAGAACGAATTATAGAAAAGGTAGTAGGTAATTGTTAATTACTGTATACTCACATATATAAGACGAGGCGAGAAATAGCAAATTACGATTGAAAAAGAGAACGAGTTACATACAAATTTTAGCTTTCCAAAGTCTACTTTGTGAATACCGTACTTTACCTGGATAAACCAAATGCAATTATTAGGTAAAGGGAAATAAGATTGTGATGAACATTTTAAATATCATAAAATTGTATAAATTTTGGAAGATTACTGTAGCCCTGCATTTGGCTCAGTTTTTAGTAAGCTAGATGCGGTATCAAGCCCATAAAAAGCAGCAAAAAGGATAAATTCTGACGCTGAAACAGTAGCTGTCTTACACGCCGGACATACAAAAATCTTCTTAAACATGAAGGTCGTCTTATACACGTCTTGCCTTATATACACTAGTATACAGTATATTTTATTTCTGTAAGTTACTGTTTTATATTTAATAAGTAATTTGATCCATCTCTTGAGATGCTGTATGTTTGAGGATGTTTTAACAGTGCATGAATAATTTATCATAACACAGAAAACATTGATGTAATTGAAAACATACATGTACTGTACCATAAAGATCAACCATAACATCATTTGAAATCAATAAGTTCTATTATTATCCTACATCAATATAAATGAATTAGATACAAAAGGAGCGGCTTAATCAATTTTGAAAGTCAGTGTATAAAATACAAAACTGTTTCACTGCTTAAACAGTGGCGGATCCAGGAATTTGAAAAAGAGGGGGCCCATCAAAGGACTTGTCACAGATGGAAAGTCTAGACCACCTCAGCCCCACCATGGTTGGGTCTGAGGTAATAAAATTTGTGATTGTGGCACCCATACTGTACAGTACAGTAGTTCGCTGGAAATGGCATCCTCAGACCTAATCTAATTAACATTTTCCTGTTTTTCTCCAATTTTTAAATAATTTTGAAAAATAATTTAGAAAAATATCATAAAATTGCATTATTTGGTAGCCCCTCTCCTGAATCCGCCACTGTTATATATACTATAGTGGGTGCCTGCAAGTTTATCCTCTGCCACCCCCTTTGTAAACAAAAGGGGGTGAAGATAACTATAAAATATAAAGTAATTACACAATTGATAATAGGGAAGAGGGTAAGAAAGTAATAACTGTATTGGTAGAGGCTGCAAAAAATGCTAAAGTAGAATAATTATGTTTCGTTTTGGCAAATGACTGTTTTGTCTTTGTATTTAAGGGAAATAATATACTGTGTCGTAGACCTGCAGTGTATTTCATCTGTTTATCTACCACTAATACCAGTAATTTTTTTTCTGTGCATAATGGATACACCATACAGTACATATTGTACTGTAAACTGTATGGGTATTTCGTAACACAAATGGAACTCTTGTGTTTTTTGGCAGAAATATAATTTGTCTATAAATACTTTTAATTTGAAAAGGATACTATTAACCTTTGATTTTAGCCCTATGGCTTCCACTTCACCAACGAAAACACATACAGTAGGAGCATGTATGTTGGCAATGAACCCTAGAATTAATCTAGGGCCTACGGTAACTATAATAGAAGTAGCATCATTACTGTTATAATGGTTTCCTTTATGGAACTCAAGTGCTGTTTTAAGAATTAAATAAAATGCACAAGAAGTTCAGATTATACCGAAGGTAATATAGAGTTCAACATCCTTTAAATTTTACCACAAAGTCATCTCACTACCTGTTCCGAAAACAGTAGCACCGGAAGATGTCCCCAATTGATTTTTAAATCATATCTACTTCATGTTTATATAAGTACCTATAAAAGCATAATTCAGTTTTATAGTAGAAGCACTGGGGAACTGATTATATAATTCGCTGAAAGTTAAGATATTTTAGACAAATATCCTGACAATAATAATTTGAGGCAAAGACAAGCCAAACCAGTCAGTAGTTGCAAATCCTGTTTTGGAGATAATGGCCAAAACTTGTTGGAAATATATTTTATTGCACTGAACTAACCTTTATATATCCATACATCATGCCATGCTGTTATTTTCTTCATTTTCAACGTTAAAACAGCAATTTGTAAAGATTTGGTGATGGTTTCTGCCTAAGAAGAAATGCCTGAAATCGTAAACTTTGAATGCTGATTTCTCAAATATTGTTCTTTAAACAGCTGTATGTAAAACTCCTGTAACTTCATAACGGAATGTCAGGTTTAAATGATTCTTTTATCATTTTATAGCTCTCATATTACTGTACTGTTTAACCCTGTATTAATAACTAAAGATTGATGTTTGTGACGAGTGACAGGTTTGGCTTGTCTTTGCCACATTTAATAATAATAATAATAAATGATAATAATAATGTTAAGTTGAATGAAATCATTGTAAAATCTGTTGGTTTTTTTTTTAAATAAAAATATTAAAAACAAATATTTACTATAGGTCTCCCTCTCTAATTTAAGACCACCTCCAATTAAAGACTACCTTTCTGTGGTCCCAAATTAGTAAATGTCTTATCTGTATTCTAATTAGAAACCAAAGATGCTATATGGATCAGAGACACCCTGGTGCCAAAAGTGGTCTTCAATTATAGGGAGACCTGTATTTATTAATTAATTGGCCCATTGGTCTTTTTGCTTGCACTGATTGGTATGGTATCGCTTTTTAAACACAGTTGATGTTAGGGCATGTTTTTAATAAGTGTTGATCAGTTATCAACTAGGCCAAGGCTAGGCAAACCTATAAAAACGATTTGGAAGAATAAGAGAAGAAATGGCACCACCACATAAACTTAATGTACTGTAACATGACAATTGACATGATCAGACAGCAAATAGGCAAATTTATTACATAAACCATAATAAGACAGAGTTTTAAACTGTGAATGAAAGTCATATTGTAGTTGTGTTTATGCATAATGATAACAGTAAAATGCATACATTTATACAGCACCATCATTATAGTCTTTTGTTGGTTTTTGTTACAGCAAATTTACAAGAGAGTTTTTCTGTTTGGATGACCAACCTGGTGCACACGATAGCCTTGAGGAAAGCAGGGTAAGGAACAAAAAGAACAAACAATTGATTGCATTGTTATTTACACAAAATGCAGGCTTACCAATACTAGATGCATGTAAACTACTAAATGCATTTCATTATTTATTAATATTTGTTTTTCTGTTGTTATAAAGAAAAGGAGATTAGAGCCAATTGAACTTGCCATTGCTTGTGGGTCCACATTAGTGCGGTGATAATAAAACGTTACCAACAGTGTGAAGGGAATCTAGGTACCTAGAATGACGATGCCTGAGCAATAATAATACTTTTATTTTTTTGCATCCAACAGCAAGTAACTTGTCAATTACATGATGCAATGCTTTATAAACCAAGTCTCTTTGAGAGGCCTGAGAAGTGGGAATTGACTATCTTAACACAGCATTACCTGGCATTACCGTACTAGCGTATAAAGCAACCCGCGTATAAGATAACCCCGAGTTTGAGAAGATTTTTTGACTATTTTTGTACTGTATGTCAGGTGTATAAGACAAACCCTCTGTTTTATGTTCAGAATTCTTACTTTTTTTCTGCTTTTTATGGTCCTAATATTACATCTAGCTGGCAAAAAATGGAGCCAAATGTGAGGCTAATCTTCCAAATAATACCATTCTATGTGTTTTTAAATGTTCATCAAAGTCTTTTTCCGTGTTTAAAATTGCGTTCATTCATACTAACATTTAATAGCTTCATTGCAGTAGTCAATTTGTGTGTTACGGAGAAAGAAAGAAAACGAACATGATTTTTAAAAAAGTAAAATTTGTATGTCGTGCATATAAGACGACCCCCCCCCCTGTTTTTCAAGGAGTAATGTGCTATTTTAAGACTCGTCTTATGCGCGAGTATATACGGTATATACAAATTTAATACGGTAGTTGCAATCAATTATTTAGGTTCGTTGATTCATTGCTTCAGCACAAGTACAAAATATATTTTGGGGAATTACACTCCAAAGAGGCTACAACTTTGTGGAGCTCTGTTGTTTGTTTTTTGGGACTTTGGTTTTTCTTCAGGTTTTTTTATTTTTTACATTTGAAAAAGAATCTAAACAGGAGTTACTGATTTCTTTTTCTAGGCCCTCTGTGATTCTCTTGAAGAAACCATCTATAACCTGCGACATGATTTAGCTGAGAAGGAAGCGGAGGTTTTACAGCTTAAAAAGCAACTTCGCGAAAGCCAGACTAAGGTCGATAACCTCTCAACACAATTATTGTAAGTACCGTTGTTTCAGCAAGGACTTATTCAAAGTCTTTTGTTTCAGTTGTAGCTATATGAGTTCATAATGCAGTAGAAAGAACCCATCTTTTGGGACACCCCTATTAAGGGGACACTTTTTCCGCTACAAATGAGGGAAAGTGTATCTTTTAATACTACGGTCAACCATATTCAGGGGACACCCTATTAAGGGGACACTTCTTCCGCCACAAATGAGGGAAAGTGTGACTTTTAATACTACGGTCAACCATATTCAGGGGACACCCTATTAAGGGGACACTTTTTTGATCCCGAAGGTTTCCCCTTAATAGGGAATCTACTGTAATATTTTATTTTAATTAATGCTTATAATTATATTGTTTTTAACCAATAGTTTTTTGATATCATCTTTCCTGGTTCTTGATTTGAAACTTGTCTTTGAATAAACCCAACTAAAGGAAGTGGCACTTACCACAACACTTTCGTACTGACTATGATGCTGATAATAATAATAATCAGCAAAACTGTTTACCATTAAATTAAACATAATTTAGTTTTATTCTTTAAAAAATGTATAAGTATAATACAAACTCAAAAGGAAGTGGAACTTAAATTCATCTTCAGGGATAATAATTTCGTCAATGATTCCATTCTTGACTTTATGGTAATTTTGTTAAAATAAGATAATATAAACAAATAATGCAAAAAATACACTAAATACTATTAATGCTAATACGGTACACTGGTACACTTCACATTAACATTATCTATGTAATATGCTGGGCATTTCATTATTAGTATTCATGTAACTTGAAATTCCTGTACAATAATCAGGGCATTTCATAAATTTATTAATAATATTCACCTAACTTAAAATATGATAATATATACTCAACAACTAATGCTCATAACTCAACCCATTTTTGAAATAATTTTTATAAGATTATTATATCTCACCTGTTTGTAATCCTCTTTTCTTTTATAAGCATTAATATATAATTAGAATTTAAAAAAAATAAATATAAAGTAATTAACCAATATACTGTAAGCCAGTAACCATATGAAGTATTTAAATTTATTTAATTGTTTATGATTATTGAATAGTTAATAATTGTTAAATTTATTGTTTCCAAGAATTATAGTATTCTTTTGGAATTTTACTTTATAATATGGATAATATCTGTTACATAAAAATTGTTATCATATGTATCTAACCAGAACTATAATACAGACCATCTGTAAGAGTTTGGTTTATTTTTAAGAAAAAATATTATAATGCATGTAAATGTGGTATTAATGAATGTGAATTTGATATGTTATTCTGAGCTTGTATTGTATTCTGAACATGTATAATATAAAAAGTAAAATTTGCCTGATTAATAAAACTGCAACATAGTATGTTAATAATATTCATGCCAGATACGATACTAAACTAATTTCAATATTTTTTAAACACAAATTAATGCAATAAATTGCTTGCATTTTCAAATTTTATTTGCTTTTTAAAAACATTTCAGTTACAGTATTAATAGCTTGACTAATTCTCATAATTGTTTTTGTTTGTCATTATCTTTTTTTGTTTTTTGTTATTTTATGGCCTGTTTCTACTGCCAATAAAAACCTATTTTAGACCCTTAGAATACTATATCGTATTTTATTCAATACTGGACTTTAAGAAACATCGTCTTAAATCACTTATGCACAAATTACCGTAATGCAAATATAACAAATGAAAAAAAGTTATGTCAGACTTGTTTTATTTATGTAGAAACAGGACCATGGTTTTGGGATATTTTTGTCTTTGCCATATTCAATTCAAGGGTTTTTTGAGATTTCATTTGTCATTTCATCTAACAATGGTATCATTGTCTTATGCATGCTATTTAATGGCCAATTTCATTGGTGTAGGAATGGTGGTATGCATCCAGAAGCATCTCGCTCTTCTTCCCAGATCAGTGAGGAGAGCTTGGTAGAGGGCGATTGTCGCTCATGTGTCGAGGCGGATCAGAGTTCATTGGGTCAAGGATCAATTGATCATACATCATCAGAGCAAAGTTCACCAGATCATCCTTCATTGACTATGAATGAACCTGTTGAATGTGCTCGAGAAATTGACTCACAAAATTTACCTGAGCCAAATTCTGACCCAACCTCTGATCCAACCTCTGACCCCAAAACGACACATGTTGATGATGAAAAAAGTGAGAATCCTGTAGGACCTACTTGCACTGACCAAAGGTAAACTGCCATGTCCATTAATATCTTTCAGCTAAACATGCTTTTTATGTCGGTTACGGTAATTATAACTTGCTGTTAAAATAAGTCACATGACTTGCAATATCGGTTATAGTAATTATAACTTAAATAACTAAAATAAGTCACATGACTTGCAATGGAATTTTAGTACAGAGAAACATTTCCACTAATTTTTCTCTTATAATTTTCTGGAAACTGCATACAGGCTCTAGCAGTATGCGCTATACAAGCACAATTGATAATATTAATAATAATAATCATAATTATAATAATAAATAGAGATGATACTATAAAAAATGTTCATTATCTTTGTTCATGGAAGGTTTTCAGGGTGTAGTAGAATTATTGGAACGCAATGCACAATTGTTTAATGGTACACTAAAGTACACATGCATTAGTAGTGTAGTTTGCAGTATGCTTGGATATAGGCATTGGGGGTTAAGAGGATGGATGTTTGCAGTATGCAGGGACACAGGCATTGGGAGGTGGGGAGGGGGTAGGGATGATTACTTCTTTATGGTGAGTCACAGACATTGTCGGTTAGGTGGGTGGATGGTTGCCCTTTGCTATAACACATGCAAGGAAGTTTAGGAGAGTGCAGTATGCTGAGAAACAAGCATTGTAGGCTGTTGTGTGGTGCCAAAATTTGCATGACAACAGGGATATTACATTTTCCAACAGATGTGCAGCAGGGTCTTGAGAGCAAAGACCAGGTGTGGGCCCAAGGAACAAACCTCTTTATGCCTTGAAAAGCTTAGCAATTTCTGGGCCTCTGAGCTTTTCTCATACTTTTTGGCATATATATTGTCCGGTATTTGTTAAAAATTTTTTTTTTTTTTTGGTCTGTCGCATCATAGATAATAAAGAAGGGGCTTGGCCAGTCTGACAGGAATTAAGCACTCTCCCTACCCCCATCTACTATATGGTGACATCATCCCCACCACCACTTGTGGTGACACCCTGACTGATTTGAGCTTAGGAGGGTGGATACTTTTAATATGTTGAGACAGGCATTGGGGATCAGGAACTTTTACCAAATGCTGGTAAACATTTGCATTGGGCATTAAAAAGGTGATTGCTTGCAGTAAGCTAGGACATAGGTATTTGGTGAAGAAGGTTCAATGCTTGCATTATGCTGGGAACCGCATGTTGCTAATATTATACTGCATGATTGTACATTATCATGTTCTTTCTAGCAATTTTAACATCAATTACATATATGACATACTATTACATTTTAGAGTTCATTGCTATAATTCCTTTAATATTAAATTCTCAACATTGGTTATTTTCTTCTTTTTTTTTTATTTACTTAACATATTTATAATCTAAATTGTTATTAACATTTAATGTTTTCCTTCTGTTTATCAACCTTCACAACTTAAATCTCTTGTGAACAGGTTTCTTTTAAAATAAGTAATCTCTTACTTTTCATAGTCTTACACTTTTGTATTTTTATGTGAATATGAAAAAAAAAGTAAACAAAAGTTTAAAAATCAATGAAATTAATTATAATAGCTGGCTTTATATATACTGTATGTTTTTTTTGTTTTTTTCTCACTTTACTATTATGTTCTGCTTATTAGTGGGCCACCATCACCTGCTGTTGAAAGCGAGGGAAGCTGGGATACAGTTCCAGAGTACAACAACAAAGGATGCCAAACGAAACCAAATGAAATTCCAGTTTACAGATCACATATATCATCTGTACATAAACAATTTGGAAATGGAATAACGTCTATAGAGCACAATAAACAGCCTGACGAATGCTCAGTTCCAAGCAAAGCTATGATTGTCACATGATGGTAGTGAGCATGATCTGAGCATGTGATGGTTACCATGGTGAAGTGAATAAGGAAGTGTTTATTTAAGCATGTCTATAGTCTGATGCAATGTGCTGCCAACTGTGAACTTCATCAAGGACAAACACACTGTACTTTGAAGCAGATGCAATGAAAAAAAAAATGAGAGCAGAAAGTAGATAGATAGATTAACTATGAAGACATTCCAGTTCTAATAATAAATTTAATAAAAACAGAACTTAATCACATATTACAATCGATGTACCGTTTAAACGTTGGCATTTTTTGGTACGTACATGCTAATTAGCCACATTAGAGTCGTTCTGGATGATTCAATAATGACTTTTTACTGGTACTTATAAGCACTTAAGTGTCAGGCTTTCTAGTGTGTAATGTTGTTTTTAAGGTTTATTCACCATTGATTTGTTTACTGTTAACATCAAAATGACCTGGGGCAGATCCAATGGGGGCATATTCCCTCCCTCTGTTTTACCAACTACATTAAAAAAATATTCAATGCATAAAAATACCTTGTATTGAAATAAGCAAAAAATAGAATCTGGCCCCCTTCGTTGTGCCACTGCTAGTTGCGCTCCCCACTTACCTGGTATTAATTTTGGGTTCTCCCTGTGTGAACAAAATCTGGATCTGCCCCGATACTTACCCTGCTACTTTCATTTTATTGACATGTCACAATTTCAAATAGAAATAACTGCCATTGGAATTTGAATAATTGCTGTTAGGATGAATGATACTTGCACCATTATTAATCAACTCAGTGATACATATTTGAAAATTGTTATATTACTATTGTTCATCAAAAACTATAAGATATAAAACTAAACTTGAGATATTATTGAATTCAGAGTTCCTGTTCTAAATTGATATTAACCTTATGCATTTTTAATGTAGCTTCCAAATGATTATGCATGAAAGCAGAAGGTTGCAACAAATATTTTACAACTCAGTATATATATTGAAAAACACTGTGAAACTCTAGATAGAAAGAAGTTGATTAAAACGAAAAGGTATATAACTATGTGACATTGTAAAAAACCAACATGATTGCATAATAATGTTTGAAATACCGTATTTACTCAAATTAACGCCCGGGGAAGCGTTTATTTTATTTTTTGATGTAAAATGGATACACGTATACTCAAATAAATGCCCCTTAATTTCACAGTAAAACTAGAAATACAACACATCAAAAAACACTGTAGAACTCTAGATAGAAAAAAGTTGATTAAAACATAAAGGTATATAACTATGTAACATTGTAAAAACAAACATGACTACATAATAATGTTTGAAATACCGTAATTATTCAAATTAATGCCCCGGGGTGTTTATTGTTGAGAGGGATTTTTGAGGGGGCATTTATTCACGGGAGGCGTTTATTTTATTTGATGTAAAATGGATACACATTATACTCAAATAAATGCCCCTTAATTTTACAGTAAAACTGGAAATACAACACATCAAAAAACACTGTAGAACTCTAGATAGAAAAAAGTTGATTAAAACATAAAAGGTATATAACTATGTGACATTGTAAAAACAAACATGACTACATAGTAATGTTTGAAATACCATAATTATTCAAATTAACGCCCCGGGGTGTTTATTGTTGAGAGGGATTTTTGAGGGGGCATTTACTCGAGGGAGGTGTTTATTTTATTTGATGTAAAATGGATACACATTATACTCAAATAAATGCCCCTTAATTTCACTGTAAAACTTGAACTACAACACATAATTACGGTTAAAATGTGTTACTGCCTCTGATCATAAACACTTATTCATCCCAACCAGGTTTAAAAGATATGTAAATCTACTGGAGTAGAAAATTAATAGAATGTGTTGAGAATGTTGTTGCTTCCATTAGATGTGTTTACAGAAATTCAGGGGGGCATTATATAATAAACACCTTGTGGATTTTATTCGAAGGATGTGTTTATTCCAAATGAGGCTCTAGAGGGGAGTTTATTCAAGGGGGGGGGGGCGTTTATTCAAAGTGGGGTGTTTATTCGTATAAACACGATACATAAATTTCCATTCTCCTGTCAAGTTTATTATAATTAAGACTAATGCCATACCTTGCCTTCTCTGATGACACTTAAATGAGGCATGTTGTGGCGAAATGGTAAAGTTGTCGCACAGTCCAGTATTTTATTTGATGTAAAATGGATACACATTATACTCAAATAAATGCCCCTTAATTTCACAGTAAAACTGGAAATACAACACATCAAAAAACACTGTAGAACTCTAGATAGAAAAAAGTTGATTAAAACATAAAGGTATATAACTATGTAACATTGTAAAAACAAACATGACTACATAATAATGTTTGAAATACCGTAATTATTCAAATTAACGCCCCGGGGTGTTTATTGTTGAGAGGGATTTTTGAGGGGGAATTTATTCAAGGGAGGCGTTTATTTTATTTGGTGTAAAATGGATACACATTATACTCAAATAAATGCCCCTTAATTTCACTGTAAAACTGGAACTACAACACATAATTACGGTTAAAATGTGTTGCTGCCTCTGATCATTAACACTTATTCATCCCAACCAGGTTTAAAAGATATGTAATTCTACTGGAGTAGAAAATTAATAGAATGTGTTGAGAATGATGTTGCTTCCATTAGATGTGTTTACAGAAATTCAGGGGGGCATTATATAATAGACACCTTGTGGCTTTTATTCAAAGGATGTGTTTATTCCAAATGAGGCTCTAGAGGGGAGTTTATTCGAGGGGGGGCGGGGGCGTTTATTCAAAGTGTTTATTCGTATAAACACGATACATAAATTTCCATTCTCCTGTCAAGTTTATTATAATTAAGACTAATGCCATACCTTGCCTTCTCTGATGACACTTAAATACGAGAATATTAACAAATTATTGATAAGTGCTAAGACAGATCTGCGAATATTATACATAGTTTATGACGGTTTCATATCCAATCAGAAGACAAAGAGCTAGGATGTTGACATTTCTAACATAATAGACATAGATAATTACAGCTTAAGCTAAATTATATGAACTAATGAGAAGAAAACCACATTAAATTTTAGAAAGCAAAATACTGTATATTTGCTTGCAAGTTGTTTCACTGGTTTGGATTCATGCTTTAATACATTAACATTGCCTTGATTAATATTTTGTAAATAATCATGCATGTTGTGAAGAGAGTTTTTATATTTTTTGTGATGTTTTTTTTGTAATTAATGACAAAAGAAAATATTTGTAAATAATCCTGGTTGTTGATACCAGGTCAAAGGTTAGAGGTATAGAGAAAGGGGATAGGTTTTCCATGTTGGTTATGTACAAATGATTGACATAATGTTTGTGTAAACCATAAAAATGCAAATATACTTAGAATTTAGTGTGCTTAAGTTACTATAGATAAGTATTCAAGTGCCGCGTTTCTTTCTGAAATTTTATTTAGAACGTAATGAGTAGCACAGTATAGACTACATATGAAACTGCATCAAACATTTTTTTTTACTGTGTTCTCCCTATTTTGTTCTACAATTTTGCTTTTTTTCCCCCTTACCCAAATCAGAGCTCTGTTCCTACCCAACTGAGGGTCATTGTACACCGAACCCAATGCATACTGTACGTGTACACCTTCCTTATGAACTGCCAGTGTTGTTGCTACTCATTATTTACTTTATGTAATTACAATATAATAATTATATATATTATAATATATATATACTGTCTCTTATACACATCTAGATGTGTATAAGAGACAGGTACTCAACCTCGCCAAGGCTCGGGCCTTCGCCAAGACCCGGGCCCAGACTCAGCGTAGGGTTACCGACGTATAACCGACAAGAAGCCTCGTCGACCCCGGAACCCGTCAGGGAGAGAGTCAGGTGATTTTATTATGCATGTGATTATAATATACTGTAATACTGTAAATGGTCTCAAGCTTAAAATGTAATTCTAGATTTGCAAGACACAGGTCACTTTATGTACAAACATGAAATGTTCTAAGTACAGTATACACATTATTTTGACTTTTTGAACTTATGGCATGTTGTTTACATTAATTGATGGAAAATACAATAAGCTCCTTGAAAATAATTTTTTTCTTTTGCAATGTCATTACATAATATTAAAAATAGTTTTAGTACCTTGCATTAATCTATTGTTGAAATATTGATACATACATTATGACTATCATGATGACAAACATGATAACTGTATTACAAACATACTCTCATAGGTATTGTATAAGGACATGAAAAGATTTATTTTTCAATACACTGTGCAGCACTTCATTCTTTATAGATCAATTATTTTACTTAAGGGCAGTACCAGAGGAAAGGGGTCACAGGGCTACAGGCCCACCTTTCTGTCTGAAAAGGATTGGATTAGTCATGCCAGAATGAATGTATAGCCTGCCTTTGAAAAATAAATTAGAGATGGTCCTTTATAAATGAAATAAAGCTCGCACAATATACACACAAGAGACAATCACAAGGATCTATCTAAACTGCACTCAGTACTTTGTTGCATCAGGCAGCAGTTTACTGTTTTCTGGTTGCTTGCATTTTCAATAGCTGATCTTCATAGTCTTTTCCATATTATTGTATTCCTTGAAGCCATAAATTAATTTCCAGGCAATTTAAGGGTCTATACAAAAGAATAATAAGAACTGTATTATTATTGGTTATTTTTAAACCACAATAAATAATACATACTTGCAACATTTTGTGCGCTGTCAGCTACACTTCATTAGGCAATGAACTGTTGATGTTGTCAGTTCCAGTCGCTAGGTGGACGAAACGTCGCAAGTATGTATAATTATTTTTGAAAAAACAAATTCGATTTACAATATTGTTTTCAAAACAGATGGAACTATTTCAACATGTAGTGAGGAAAAGATAGTATAAAACCAACTCCGACAATTTTTTTATTCCTGAAGATAAACAGTTTGAAATGTTTGAATGACAATGGCTTGTATCACTTTTTTTTCGGAGTTTGTTTCATAATATCTTATGTCAAACTTAATGGTGAACCACATGATGAGGACAATATTTCATCATTTTAATCTAAAAGTGAAAGATTCTTATTTGGTGTGCTTTACAAACTAAGAAATTTAAATAATGTATTTTATATTATATAAGTTGGTATACATTAGCATACAACATAATATATTTAGCATTGAAGGTTTGGTATAATTTCCCTCCACCACATCCAGCCTTCAAATCACCCATATTTGATTTTAATTTTTTAAGAGTGACCTTTAAAATTCAGCCTTCAAATTAAAGTGAGCATTGTAAACTTAATAATTAATTATAAGCTTTTAGTATACCATGTGTCATATGCTACAAATTCCAATCAATGATATTTGGCTCTGAGAACCATTTGGATTGTAAGCTTCTTAAATGCTATTTTTCAAAAATATATATATTTTTTTGCTGATATGATAAGTTAAATTGAAAGAATTTTAATCTTCATGCATATCCTTATGTACATATATTTAAATGCACTATTTTCAAATATGATTTCTTTTTTAATTTGAATATTATAAGATATAATACATACTCCAAGTATTGAAATGTACGTCATCGTGTCGGGATTCAATATTTCGACATTAATTATGTTGAAATATCGAATCCCGACACGATGGCGTGCATTTCGATACTTGGAGTATGTATTATACCTTTCGGTTTTTGAATATTATACTTTATAAAGATAGATATATGTTGATTTTGATCCTCTTACCGTAATGTTACAGGTTTTCCTCCAATTGAAAACCACTCTTGAAACTGGATTTTGTATTGATCTTGCAGCTTTTACTCTTAATTAGAAAAGAAAAATAGAATTAAGATATAGATCCATTTATTTGAGGGGCTGTAGAAGAGTCAGAAAAGTGATCTTTGATTGGAGGGATTTTTAGTTTGATAAATACCCGTACAGGGAATGTTATGTTGCATATTTTGTTCTAGGTGATACTTATGTAATGTTCCTAATGTATGCAAATTAGAAGATTTGCAGCGTGTCTACAAAGGTACAAATTCATTAAATTAAATGTGACCTGCACTGACAAAACCTGCCGTTTGTCGCAATTTCTAATTTCCCACAAGAAACCAAAATGTTTCAGAATTGTGAACATTTTCAGGTTTTATGAATTTTATATTAAAAGAAGATAAATTGAAGTTTCTACAGAATATCAGTCATTAATCTAACTCAAATATATATAAAAATTATTTAAAAAATATAAATCTTTATAATACAGTATTTTGGAATCTTTGGAAGCTGTTTTATCAAAACTAACATATGACTGATATCCAATGAATTAAATATTCATAACTTCACTAATACTAAACAAATTTCTATCAAATAAGCACTGTTTTAAAGAAGAATTTATGCAAAATCCCAAAATACCAAAAACTCAATTTTGAATTTTTCGGACAAATGGCTGGTTTTGCCAGAGAATTGCGGATGGTCATTATGTGTTTGATGACAGGGTTACATCCAATCCTTTCAAAAATAAATCAAAGTAGTAGATTTAAAATAGTAAGAATACAATTATGTTAATATTATAATTTGTCTTAACTCATTGATTAGTGCTTTTATGCCTTTTGTCAGATAGTTTTTAATCATCAGTACTTCCTAATGACTGTTAAACACATTGCATTCCAATATTATGGAAGGTGGTAAAACTAAGTAGATCTGAGTACTGGCACAGCTATTTCAACATTGATTTGTACTATCTTTACTTGAAAGCAATTTTTGCAATACAATTGTAGCTATTAGCGCTTTTGGTTACATATTTAATGAAATATATATTTTTTTAAATCAATCATGTTTACGTTATGCACCAACAATTATTTATGATCTTATGTTACTGTTTCAACATTCACAATAAAATTAGTAAGTCAAAGAACTAGCTGTTTGTTTGCCACATTTTGAAAGCGTCATGTCATTTTCAGTTCCAGAGGTCCAAAGCTTGAAGAAGCAACTTACTTGGTATCTGCTTGAATGAGCTTTCTAAATACAACTAATTTTATTTTGCTGTGCATACTGATACCCATTCCAGGAGACAAATGTTTATAAAGTATACTGTAGTGAAAACTTTAAAATATCATAAATTTGTGAGCGATGGGTTATTTTTCCGGGAGTTTCTGATATGAGGCTTTCAGATTTTCGGGAAACTCCAGCGACTTGTGGTTGACTTGGGACCTCTGCAGTTCTTCAATTTCAGTTCAAAGGCAGTAACAATTTTGAGTTGACAGAACACATGCTTAGTTTAATCTTTATATTAATAATCAAAATGTCACTAACAAAGTAAGTGAACAAATAATTTTGATTTTTATAGAGATAGAAATAACATTTGAAATCTTGATGATTTTCTTCAGTAATGGTAATAACCTTTATTTAGACATGTACAATTCTAAAACAGTGGCACTCAGAGGTGCGTTCAATTTGCATTATGCATTACCTTGGAATTACCTAGTAAAAAGCTCTAGAGCTTGTAACTTGCACCAAAGAAGTTGACAAAAAAATATTTTCATTAGGCGAAATTTTTTTACCTTGTTTCGCAAAACATATTTACCGTCAGAGAAGGCCGAAAAAATATGAAAATAAAATGTTGTTTTCTTATTTACCAAATATGTTTGCCAAAAACAACCAGACGGAGGAGAAAATAAAAATAAAATTTTATTGGTGAATGTAAACAGTGTATTGCTTCAAATTTTTATAATTAGGAAGTAAATATACATACTGTGATCTTTTTTTGTCAGATTTCAAGGTAGCTGTGGGCGATGAAAATATAGAAAAACTTTTCTTAAATTTCCATTTTGTTCGTGGTGGCGGGTGCGCATATTTGCCAAAACAAAATTTTATTTTTTTCCGAAATTATCATTATTTGCGGGCGGCGGGTTCACTAAACAAGGTATAAAAAAAAGCCTTGTCTCGGGTATTCTAGAATTTTTCATCTGTAGTATGGTTTAGGCTTGCGTGAACGTTGCTTTGAACTATAACCATTATTTTTTGTTATTCTAAATCACATTACCGTATTCAATATTTTTCATCGCTTTTGAATTTCTAATATTTAGCTAAATTAATGGATAATAAGTAAACGAAATAAATAATATGAAAATCTTAAAAGAAATAAAAATAAAAACAGAAAAGGTCGAAGTTTCCAAACTATAGATGGCAGTATAATAGTTTTTTGCCCAGTTTTTGCCAGCACCGTGTAGCCTCCTCTTTTCTCGAGCTGGAGGATTGTTTGTGTTGAAAGTGAAAACAGTTCCTTCTAAAATGGCTCAAATAAATTACGACGAACTTCCCGGGCGCTTGATGGTTGTCATGCAAAATCTTTTAACACCTGATAATTCAGTAATTCAGCAGGTAAATAGGATTAAAAATCTTAAATTGTTGAAGTTCATGAACAGGCATTGTGTGCCATCGTTCCCGCATGGATTGTGGTCGTGTTGCCTTTTCGCATGCATGTGTGTTCTTGATAAGGCAGCAGGCCTAGGCCTAGCACTTTAGACGCGGGAAAGTTGCAAAACAAGTTGTATAAAAGAATAATTGCATATCATTTACCCTCTGTGTGTTTTTGTTTTTTAGACAGGGCGGTCACAGACTGGCACATAATAGGGGAAGGGGATATATAAAGAAGCATAGACACAGCCACACAAATTGTCAATATCAATGAATGCCCTAATACTTTATACTCCAGCATGGCCCCTGATCGTTAACAACAGACCATGTGGTTGGTAGTGCACAGCAGATCATTAAAAAAAGAAATCTGCTTAGGCTAGGCCCCTAGAAAATGTGGGAAAGTCGGTATGCGCTGCTACCAGTGGTGGCCCCAGGAATTTGCTGACAGGTGGTCTGGCACGTGCTTTCTAGACCTAGGCCTAGTCAAAATGGCAATAAACTAAGGGAATGTTTACATTTTTTTACAGTTTTGTATATATATTTTATATGTTTTTATATCATTTTTTATTGTTGGCCAGGGGTTTAGAGATGACCACTTGTTTTGTTGGGCTTTAGCCCATGTCACCTCTAGTCACGCCCCTGGTCAATATGTTTTATCGTGACTAATTTTTAATAAATATAAAATAAAATAAATAAACCAAAACGGCGAAAGATCAAAATCAAAACCAGCGCCAAGCCAAGCTTGCAATACTTGGTCTTAGGCGCAGGCTAAGGCATTCGTTCATAATAGTTACATATTTATTTATTTATTTAATGATGTTCTTGTACATAGGCCTATCTAACTTATTTAATTCTATCAAACTTTATCTATTTGTTTAACCATTTCTAACATATATATCATATAATCTTTGCAATCCGTTAATATTGTCGAACATTTTTTTTTTCGTTTATATAAAGAATTGATTTGTTAAATATTGGATTAATCATCCACAACAAATTTAAATTCCCCTTGATCATGTTTATTAATATTATGTTAATAACCATATTTAAAACTAATATATTTCAAATTTTTTTTAAATCTCCCCAAACATATATTTTATTTAAATAAGAATTGTTCTTATGATATTTATTAAATTTTTCCTTTATTGCAAATTTACAAAATTGTGAATGCTTTAGATTTTGCGTGTGTATTTCGGCCTAATTCATGTACATTAGAAAAGAGTTCACATTTACTCTGAAAACAATTTGTTAATATTAGGGAGTGGAAGTACTGCCGACACAGGAATTGAACCTAGGTCCATGGGATTAGAAGGCAAGCAGCATCATCTCAACCACTAAACTATGCAACTCTATTCCATATTCAGAATGTTAATTATAATACTGATTACCTGCCTGGATTCTCTCTTTTTTGGCGGCAATGTAATATCTTAGTTGAACATTAAAATAATCATTTTGATACATTCCAACTCTACCGATTTGATCTGGATTCTCCTCCTTTTCTCCCGAATTTTGTAAAATTTTTCCAAAATTTCATAAAATTAAAAATAAAATGTTACACATGTCAATTGTAATCATGGGCCCCCACTCCCCGGTTCCATGCATTAGCTGGGAAATATAGCCACGACTAAGCTGGGAACATACAGATATTTGTGTTCCTGTTGTGCAGGCCTGTATTCTGGGATTGAATTGGAGATGTATCAGATGGAAAAAAGACGAGAATTGAAAACATTGATGTACCTGGGGTATTGGGTAATTCTGCTGCAGAATACATAGCCAAAGATGTACATTAAATGATGCCCCACATTGTCGGGCAGTGTCCAGGACTTGCAACATTTTTTTATATTCACACATTCCTGTCTAAGTGCCCACTAGGGTCAGGGTGGGACGAGATTACAATTGATAAGTGTATTGCACCAGACTAAATACTGACTTTTAAAATACATATTCATTGTGAATATTGTTTTCACAGGCAACTCAAGAACTCCGGCTTCTGTTTAAACATCGGGCAATGGTAATGGCCCTGGCTACAATTATTTCAGCTTGTCCAGAAGTCCAGGTAAGGAACATTCTTTTTATTCCAATTAATAAACATAAAATATATTTAGGTAGAATTTTGCAAATGGTTGTAAGAAATAATAATAATAATAATATAACTGTCTGTCACGACATTGACTGGACATAAGACACAGAAACAAAATATATATAAAATCAACTGGTTTTAATTTAATAAAAGTTCGTTTTGCATATCCAATGACAAAGTGTTGTGCTACCTCCCAGAATCTTTATCACTGTAATAGTGCATTCGAAGTACAGATCATCTACTAAGTCTTGCTAACTGCTAGGGCTTTTCCCCTCAGTCTGCAATATCACTTTAGTATTTTTGGTACATAAGTCTTGAGTATAGGCTAATTGGCTCTACCTCCTCCGACCATCTATAAATGAATACAACATTTATATAGAATGGTATGCTAATGGTGTTCCTTTTCTATCAAAATATGCTTTAACATATTATACATAGCATATATTTATATATGTATATACATATTGAAGGTAAGTATTCCCGTAACATATCAAAATACATGCACTATTAGTACTACTACCCTATATATGCCAATAGGTAGATATTCTGATTTATCAACTATTAACAGTACTCACGGTCAATTCTTTACTTCATTTCTTGATTCAAAAATACGGTTGAAGCTCTCTTACTTCATCTATCACTCACATATAATTACTTTAAGCTTTTACATATAAGCCTTGTACTTTTATCTTAAAATGTGCCTCGACTGATATGTCCTTTAACCGACACTCCTCATTCCACATATTTCCTTTAAGAGATTCTATCTTCAACTCCTGGCTAGATACCTTTAAACTAACCCTTTTTAACACATTTGCATACTTTTACACTCCACTTAAATGCACGAATCATACACAGCCACTTTGCCTTAACCTCATTAATATTCATGTAACTTATTTCCATTCACAGACCGTTTTAACTTGAATCATACAACTATGCATATTCATTAGTTCACGATTCAGTTAGCAGTGCTGCAAAGTAGAATGAAATATCTTAAATATTGTGACACTGTCATGGTATTAGTAACTGTACCCTTTATTTTCATCTTTCCCCTCCCTCGAGTATTTAAATATTCAAAAATCTGTATCTCATTAACCATTTTCCGTCAAATATGCTTTTTGTCACTTCGAAAAATCAGTCGTACAATATTGCAAACAAATTTTTCCTCTGGAGCCAGACTTACAGTATAAGCCATAATTATATTTATATTTATATGGCATCTTATTACCAAAGAATGCAAGATGTTACTTACATACTACAAAATAAAAATCATCAGTGAAAAGAAATAAAATTAAAACAATAATTTATACAGGTCTCCCTCTAATTAAAGACTTTTCCAATTAAAGACCCCCCTCCCACTCCTCCCAAAATTAAAGATCAGTTTTCTGTGGTCCCAAATTAACAAATGTCTGTTATTTTTATTATTCTAATTAGATACCAAATAAAAAAATAAAAGCTGCTAAAGACTAAGAGAACTCTGGTCCCAAACGTAGTCTTTAGTTGGATTAAGTAAACATAAACAATGATAATAAAATATATTGGTTTTAGAATATGTGTTGTATGATGATGATGATGATGAGAAAAATGAATTGTCTCCAACAGAATTGAATCCAAGAATATCTGAGCAACCACTCCATTATAATATTTTGAGAATAACATAATAACTATTGAAAATTATTTTTCTTTAATCTTTTCCTGTTGCATGATTTAAAGATTCGTCAGTTTGCAGCTGTTTTAATGAGACGCAAGATTACAAAACAATGGAAGAATTTACCATCAGAATTCCAAGCTTCGTGAGTACAACTACTAAGCAATTATTGTAAAATGTTGAGGACACTGTTGGGATATAAGGACCTGAAGGTGATTGGACTAGATGATAATTTGTTAGAAGCAAATATTGTAAAGTTACCTTCAAGCAAGGGCTTAGCCAGCGAGCCGTCTGGCCGACGACCAACAATTATTAAGAACGGTCACTTTTACCGTGACGGCTTGACTACTCAGCTTGACCTAGCCTAGTTGGGCCTGGTCTACCTGTAGCATATTATTTATATTCTTCAAATATATCGAATGTTGCATTAAACTGAAGCTAAATCATATTTACATTTGATAAAACAACCATTATTGATTGGATTTATGTTGTTTTCATACCAACATTTGGTGGGAATTCCCAAAAAAGTAAGCCTAAACCATTTTCTTCCCAGTGAAAATTTCACTTCAACATGCGTATATCGTGTTTAAAACATTTATACCCCGCTGGAAAATGGACAGTTCTATTAGTCGCCCACCACACAAATACAGTACTTGAAATAGGCTCCCTAAATATGAAATAATTCTCCTGTATGGTAATTGCTTATTGATATTATACCAGTTTTGTATTCAGGATTTTGAAAAAATAGGGTGGGGGTGGGCTGAATAGGAAAATTACATCAACTGAACTTCTTGCAAGGCGCAAACCAAGGATGGAGCATATTGATGGGTATGAATACATCATAAATTGGTTGTTATTGTCTAAAGTAACTTTACTTCGCTATTTATTTCAAAAATTTACTTTTTTTTTTTTTGAACAAAAGGTGTGGGTGCTCTGGCGCTGTGAGCACCCCTGACTTTGCCATTTATTTCCATTTATTGAGCATCCCCCTGGTTACTTGCACCCTTAAGTCAGAAGTGTCTAGGTGTTTTGAAATGGGGATGGGGGCATGTTGTGTTTACAGCGCATAGATAGTTTTTGCATTTCGTGCTATATAAATTTAGAACCATTAACCATTATATCGATGATTAAGTGACAGAGTGTTAGCTCGCAAAATATGGTGATTTTTTTGCTCTTAACATCTTAAAGAGAAGGGGGGCAAGGTAAGCTTTTTTGAAAGTGGGGGTTTTTCTCCGCACCACTTAGATACACCATTGCATCGTATACCATATTGATACGATATTGATTTGTATTGTTATTGTATCTAGTGGTTTGTGATACAGTCACTTGATTTTTTTTAATTTCAGAATTAAAGCAGCTATTTTCAGAATGATGGAAGATGAACAAGAGTAAGTTTTCAAAATGTTTTTTAGTGTTTTCCTATTGCAGAACTGTTTAATCAATAATAAAACAAGCACAGTTTGACTTACTGCGAGCTTGGTTTATTATTGATTAAACAGTTCTGCAATCATTATAAGTACTGTAAACCAGATGAAACTATTGAAATGTGTTTTTATTATTTTTTTTTCAAATTTGTTGTGAAATGTTTAATGTTGTGTTTTGGTAATTAGTATTGATCAGTTTCACAGATTGTTATTTTATATTATTTTTCAGGCATATCGTACGTGTAGCATTAGCCCAAGTGTGTGCAGCGATTGCTAAACGGGAGCTTCCGTATAGCAGATGGGAAGAGTTCTACCAAAACCTTAACGTTTGCCTTAAGAGTGGTAATGTGAAAGACCGGGAGGTGAGTTTTATGCGAATCAAATGTTGAAAAAAAAATTTGAATAGCTACAAGATATAAACACAAATTGGTTTTGGTTAATAGTTAAATTTTAATATTCAAATTAACTTGGAAGTTAATGTCTTTTGGTCCTAGGGTTCTTGGTTCAGAACCATTGATTTATTTTTATCAGGATTATGAAACATGCCTCTAACATTGTTTGCAATCTGAGTAATTTGATTATCCTGTTTGTATTCCAGAATAAAGGAAAAAAATCTGTATTTTCTGTGTTGATGATAATTTATTCCATGAACTTAATATATTGGCAATATATAATAACAGTTTGGCATTATTATATACTGGTCTCCCTACAATTTAAGACCACTTTGGGGACCATGGTTTTTCTGTGGTCTTTCGCATCATTGGTCTCTAATTAGAATAAAGATAACAGATACCTGTAGATTTGGGACCACTGGAAAGTGGTCTTTAATTGGAGGTGGTCGTTAATTGGAGGGTTTTTAATTAGAGGGACACCTATTTTGAATATCTTTTATCAAGTGTTCAGCAATCATTGTATAGCAATGAAATGCGTACTGAACAAACAGTATTTAGAATAGCGTAGTTAGTTTAAACCAGAATTATAAACTGATATCTTTTCTCCATAGCTTGGTACAATGGTATTAAGTTCAGTGTCCGCATCGGCGGCAGAATGCATGAAACCGCATTTCAAAGGTCTCTTTAACATATTCTCAATGCTTTTAGAAGACACACAGAGCAAGATGGTTCCTTATTACACAATCAAGTAAGGCCGGCTAATGACATAGGGTATTGACCCGTAACCTTCTGGGTAACCTTCTGGTGTCAACTGGGGTCTCCGAAGAATATTGTGTACTAACCCGGGAGGCAACTATAGCGAAAATTAAGAAAATTCAAGGCCTCTATATAGTTCTCATACAGAATTATACCCTAAAATAAATTAATCACAAAACTATTATATTTAATTATCTTGAATGGTTTAGTTTATTAATTAATCCATGAATGGTAAAATGTTTTTAATAAATTAAATTTCCTTTAAATTATTTTCCATTGCCATTTTCTTTTAGATTTTATTCACCATAAATACTTGTTAACCATCCAAACAGACAGATTAATTTTTTGCCTTGTATCTTGATTTGAACAGTAGGGAATGGGGAGCAAGGGTCCATTGTAACTGAAAGTTCTACCCCCCCCCCAACCCACTTGTGGAGAAAACTTGCAATTTGTCAGGGAGGTAAAAAAAATCTGTAATAAAGTATAGATTGTGTCAACATTTTTTAACAACAGAATGATGAGGTGTTAAAAATGTACTGGTATTAAATATCAATTTAAAAGTTCAATGATTGCTTTGTTTATAAATTTCAGGGGCATGACATCATTGGTCACCTACATTGGATCCGATGAAGTGGTAAGTGACATGATTTTATTAATACATGAGCCGTACTAGTCTGGTATAGTAAATAAAACACTCTCCTGAACATTGACCTGAAGAAGTGCACTGTGTGCACGAAAGCTTGTGTATTGTCAATATAACCAGTCGTAAAATACTTCATGTCCAGTGTTTCATTTACCATATTTATTAATGAATCTAGGTGTTTTAAAACTTTTTATTGACAACATTACACAAGAGTTTGCTCTGATCAGACAGTTTTGAGTCTGACAAACATTTTATAATGTATGGCTGGCTATAAGAAGCTAGTATTGTTGTGTATATGCACTATAGCGGACCTTTTCCAAAGTGTCAACCAAACTTTACAATTTATCAACAGTGTCCAAACAGCAGGGCTTTGCAGAAGGTCCCTGCTATAATACTTGTGCTCCCTTTCCACTTGATACACACCTGCTGTTAAAATTAAAAATAAGCAACACCACAGAGATGCCAAGTAATCGAATTTAGGCAGCACTCCTACCAATATACAAATAAATAACATTCCAGAACTAAATAGTGTTTTATTAAATTGTTTTTGTTGAATTGTTTCTTTATTATTTGTGTTTCTTTTTTTTAATTAGCCATTGTTCCGAGCTTTAATCCCTAAAGTGATTTTGGTTACGAAAAGCCTCTTAGTTGTCGATGAGAACCAAGGCTGTGAAGCGATGGAGCTGTTTGATGAGTTGGTGGAATGCGAGGTGTCCATCATCGTACCACACATCAAAGAAATTGTGGTGTTCTCTTTAGAGGTAAAAACTTTAGAACATGCACAAGATAGTATTTTAAATGTATAATTACCCGGTGTACTGCCCAATCACCACCAGAAGGACCCCACTGGAAATAAGTCTTCTTCTAGACTTTCGTGGGCTATCCTTGGTGTTTACACCGAATAAATCCAATCCAATCCAATGCTTTTTATATTTTACTGTAGAAAATTTTAAATCGACCAATAACTTTTGTCTATACTGGTCCAAAGGACCACTGTTGTGGAAAGACGAGAGTAGCTTGCACCAGTTGACCGGGTAGCTCACACACAAAAAGATTTTTAGTGAAGGAAGTTACTGTACGAGTTAGTCCATGCATCGTGTGCTTTGTTTGGGCATCTATATAAAGCTTTATGTAAATCTAAACTACATTTCATTAACAACTTAACAATTTATCGCAGCGATGAATATCCAAAACTAACATTAAATGCAAAAAGAGAACATTTGTTACAAATAGTACATTTATTTTTAATGTCATTCCAGGTTGCCTCAAATCCAAACTTTGGTGGGAATGCTAGAATCAAGGCTCTGTCATTTATTACTTGTCTAGGGCGCATGAAAAAGAAGGTAAGTGCTATATTAAGATATACAGTAGTTCAATGCAGAACGAAATTGAGAGGAAACATCTTTATGTAGTTACAGTAAGTTACAAAAATTACCTAGATGTTGTAGTTAGATACCAAGTGACCTTTAAAAAGTACTTACTAAGGTTTCATGTATGCATGATCTGGTGAATAGGTTATATCCTATAGTTAGGTATCCAGTATATACCTAATGAACTGCATAAAGGTACATGCTGAGTTTATAGGTGACCATGGTACAGAAAAGCCAAACCAGTCACTCGTTGCAAATCGTGTTTCGGAGAAAATGGCCAAACATGCTGGAATGTCAAATTTTTAAAAATCTATTTTATTGCACTAAACTAATCTTTATATATCTACACACCATCCTATGCTGTTATTTTCCCCATTTTCAATGTTAAAACAACACTTTTTAAGGGTTTAAAGATAGTTTCTGAATGAGAAATGCCTGAAATCATAAACTTTGAAGGCTGATTGCTCATATATTGTTCTTTGAACAGCTGTGTGGTTAAACGCTTGTAACTTCATAAGGAAATGTCCGATTTGAATGATTTTTTTACCATTTTATAGCTATTATTTTACTCTCTAACACTGTATTAATAACTCAAAATCGATTTTTGCGACGGTGACTGGTTTGGCTTGTCCTTGCCACATATAGGTAAGTAGACCGTGAACTTAGGAAGGTACTCGCTGAAGTTGAAAGCTGGTACCCAGTAAACAGACACTATAGAAACATGTTAAAATTGATATTTTTTTTTTAATAAAAAGATATTGACAGTATGATTAAATGTTATCATGTTTTTCTTGTTACCTAGACAATCTTGAAACAAAAACTTGTTGGTCCAATCTTGAAAGCAATATTTCCCATTATGTCAGCAATTCCAGAAGATGATGAGGAGGAAGAAATTGGAGAGGATGCTGAATCAAGTCATCCAGCCTCTTTTGGTGCTCAGGCAAGGAAAAATGGTTATTGAGTGTGATTAACATGTGTAAATTAAGTTGAGGATAATATTTGTAATACCAGTGATAAGGGTGATGATGGTGGTAACGACGATGCCATGGTTGATGGGGATGGAAAAAATAGACATTACATCATTATGATTTATCACTTTCTTTTTTTTTTTTTTTTTGCTAAAACAGTCAGTATTCACATTCTCTCTGAAACCAACCGTGTAGCAAAAACCCAAAATGTTTTCTGGTAGCAAGCTAATTATGCTTGTTTATGTTAATCTATTATTTTTGTTTGTTTAGGTAATAGACATACTAGCATTGCATTTACCCCCAGAAAAACTTGTTCCCCCTTTAATGCAAATGGTACGACCTGCACTGGAAAGCCAAGACCCTTATCACAGAAAGGCTGCTCTGATTTGTATAGCAGTTTTAGCAGAAGGCTGTGCTGACTATATTCGAAACAAGTAGGTCATATTGTTATTTTTTTCTAATTTGTGGTGTCATGTGTTTTTCAAAAGGATTTTTCAATTTTTACAGTAGCAGATTCAGCCTCCACCCCCACCCCACCTAGATTTTTCAAACTTATTTTTTTTTAAATGAAGAAAAAAAATATAATTTTATTCAAATTTAAGTCTCAGAGTGCCATTTTCGGCCATCTAGAGGTGCCATAATCTTAAATTTTCTCACTCTCCCTGGGCCTCATTAATTTCTAATCTCTGGATCCACCATTAGTTTACTATAGGGAAGGAATATGTTGTTGTTTTCAAGTTTGTTGTTTGGGTAGGAAGTAACATCATTTGTCTTTTATGACAGACACCTAGAAGTGATGCTGCAATATATATGTAAAGGGATGGAGGACGAGAGTCAGGTTGTACACAACGCAGCGCTCTTCGCTCTCGGACAATTCTCGGAGCACCTGCAGCCGGACATCAGCAAATACCATAGTCATATCTTGCCCTTGCTCTTCAGGTACTTAGGACTTGCGTCTGAGACGGCAGATAAAGACCCAGCAGGCATCACTCGAACGTATTACGCACTGGAAATGTTTTGTGAAAATTTAGGTTGGTATGTTTTAAATGATTACCGCTGTCTCTTATACACATCTAGATGTGTATAAGAGACAGCCCTTATCACAGAAAGGAGTGCTATATTAAGATATACAGTAGTTAAATACAGAATGAAATTGAGAGGAAACATCTTTATGTAGTTACAGTAAGTTACAAAAAATACCCAGGTGTTGTAGTTAGATTCCTAGTGACCTTTAAAAAGTACTCACTGAAGTTTTATGTATGCATGATCTGGTGAATAGTTTAGTACCCAGGTTAAATCCTATAGTTTGGTATCCAGTATATACCTATTGAACTGCATAAAGGTACACACTGAGGTTACAGGTGACCATATAGGTAAGTAGACAGTGAACTTAGAAAGGTACCCACTGAAGTTGAAAGCTGGTACCCATTTAAACAGACACTATAGAAACATGTTAAAAATGATATTTTTTTTTAAATAAAAAGATATTGACAGTATGATTAAATGTTATCATATTTTTCTTGTTACCTAGACAATCTTGAAACAAAAACTTGTTGGTCCAATCTTGAAAGCAATATTTCCCATTATGTCAGCAATTCCAGAAGATGATGAGGAAGAAGAAATTGGAGAGGATGCTGAATCAAGTCATCCAGCCTCTTTTGGTGCTCAGGCAAGCAAAAAATGGTTATTGAGTGTGATTAACATGTGTAAATTAAGTTGAGGATAATATTTGTAATACCAGTGATAAGGGTGATGATGGTGGTAACGACGATGCCATTGTTGATGGGGATGGAAAAAATAGGCATTATGTCATTATGATTTATCACTTTCTTTTTTTTTTGCTAAAACAGTCAGTACTCGCATTCTCTCTGAAACCAACCGTGTAGCAAAAACCCAAAATGTTTTCTGGTAGCAAGCTAATTATGCTTGTTTATGTTAATCTATTAATTTTGTTATTTTTATTTGTTTAGGTAATAGACATACTAGCATTGCATTTACCCCCAGAAAAACTTGTTCCCCCTTTAATGCAAATGGTACGACCTGCACTGGAAAGCCAAGACCCTTATCACAGAAAGGCTGCTCTGATTTGTATAGCAGTTTTAGCAGAAGGCTGTGCAGACTATATTCGAAACAAGTAGGTCATATTGTTATTTTTTTCTAATTTGTGGTGTCATGTGTTTTTCAAAAGGATTTTTCAATTTTTACAGTAGCAGATTCAGCCTCCACCCCCACCCCACCTAGATTTTTCAAACTTATTTTTTTTTAAATGAAGAAAAAAAATATAATTTTATTCAAATTTAAGTCTCAGAGTGCCATTTTCGGCCATCTAGAGGTGCCATAATCTTAAATTTTCTCACTCTCCCTGGGCCTCATTAATTTCTAATCTCTGGATCCACCATTAGTTTACTATAGGGAAGGAATATGTTGTTGTTTTTCATCTTTGTTGTTTGGGTAGGAAGTAACATCAGTTGTCTTTTATTACAGACACCTAGAAGTGATGCTGCAATATATATGTAAAGGGATGGAGGACGAGAGTCAGGTTGTACACAACGCAGCGCTCTTCGCTCTCGGACAATTCTCGGAGCACCTGCAGCCGGACATCAGCAAATACCATAGTCATATCTTGCCCTTGCTCTTCAGGTACTTAGGACTTGCGTCTGAGACGGCAGATAAAGACCCAGCAGGCATCACTCGAACGTATTACGCACTGGAAATGTTTTGTGAAAATTTAGGTTGGTATGTTTTAAATGATTACCGAATAATTTATTGTGATTTTTAAATATATTTTGTATAGGTTAGGCCTCACCACAAAATGAGTCTCATGGTTAGAAAATGAAAAATTTTTAGTTTATATTAGGTTTGAGTAAATCACATTATAAGCTTTAATTTGGTCTTTGAATGGCTTTCCTAGGATAAGTAGACCTAGAGATGTGAGAATTTAAAGTTTAGGTGTATGAGAACCACGTTTTGAGAAAATCAGCCTCAAAGATAAACTAATTTGTACAAATAATCAGACTAGAATTATAGAATATGTGTAAAAAAACACTGTTTTAGTAAGAAAATTCACTTAAAAAGTATACAGTCATAAAATATAAGTATCGAGTTATTCCAGAACGTTGAAATCAAGATTTTGTAAAAATTTTGACTTAATTTTCACCTAATTTGGTGAATATCTCAATATGATTTCAACAACGATGCGTCTCATTTCGTGGTGAGACCATAATATAGTACAGTACGATCAGAACATATACTATTGTTTGTAGTACAATGCACCATATACAAACTTACTTATGTTACAGTAATTTAAAAGATGAAAAGGGCATAATTTCGCTGACAATGAATTTAATGTCCTCCAACTCCAACTGAATTATGCAAGTGATGTAATAGGTGCTTGTGCGCATTCTCATTTGGACGAAGAAATAAATCATGATGAAATAGAATACAATGTAAGCCCTACTTTCTGCCAGAATATATTTGGGTTGTTAGCTTAGGAGATGCCAAATATATCTTGTTACTTCCACTATAATTTTTACCATTTTTATTTATGCATTTATGATTATCAAACCTTTGTTACCTTTGTTTTTTTTCTTACTAGGTGATGAACTCTTGCCTTATCTGCCAGCCTTAATGGAAAAACTACTACATAGCCTTCAGACCTCCAAGGCTGTCCACACAAGAGAATTAGCAATTAGTGCCATAGGTCAGTTTCTTCATGCAATTCATGCCTGATAATTATCAAAAATAGTATTACACTCCTATACATATTCCTTGATCCTCCATAGAGTTGTTTAGCCATTTCAACAATTGACGAAATATATGTGTTTCAACTGTTCTAAAGGCTTTTATTTCACTTAAAACCAAAATCTGTGGTGGATCCAGGAATTTGCAAAAAGAGGGGCCCATGGAGGGAATTTTACAGATGGAGGGGCGTAGACTATCTGAGCCCCACCATAGTTGTTGTTGAGATATGAAATTGTGTCTATGGCACTTGTCAATGGCAGGAGATGGCCCTTTAGAACTTAAATTAGAATGAATTTTTTCATTCTTTTTTAATTAAAAAAAATGTATGTGGTCCGGTCTGACTGGACCCCCTTGAATCTGCTTCTGGTATGAAAACATGATCTGCATAATAGTCATGAATGCAGTTATGATAATAACATAGGAATTAATTAATGTGTCTTCTTACGTTTGATATTAAATAATAGGTGCCACGGCCAATGCAGCCAAGCAGAACATGTGTCCATACTTTCAGCAGATCATGGAGCATCTTCGGGTGTATCTACTGGCATCGGACATGGGCTTAGCATTGGTGTTAAAGATACAGGCAGTAGGTATGTTAGCAAACAACTTCAACCATTCTTCTTTTTCTACTATTGAAAATTGCTAGTATAGACTTTCTTATATTTATCTATTGAGTGTTGAAAGACATGGATTGTCCACTGTCAGAAAGTAATAATCTGGATACCTATTTAAACATTTTTGACTGGAAGTTTTTGAAGGTGTCAAGGGCTATAGCAAATATCCTAAACAACATTTATGTACACATAAATTAATTATTTTCATAGAACAATCATTACATCTTCGTATCACGTGACATTGGCTATTAACCCCATTTCGTCACTCATCACTGAAATTTAATTCCATCCATGCATTTTCTTTCCATCCGATTTTGCCAATTGCACGGTGCCTAGGACACGATATGACATCAACCTAATACAATCTTTTGATTGGTTAAATATATGCTGGACTGTTCTATTTAGAAAAAGGGTAGATTTTTTCATAAAATATAAAATGACAAGAATATCCATGTAGGAAAAGGTAGGTTTTTTTCATAAATTATCAGATGACAAGAATCTATTTTAGGTGTGTCATAAAACAAATAATGAATGTTTTTTATTCGCCAATGGAAAGAATATTTTCATTCATTTAAAGGTTGACTGTTCCATTCCAACCTTTGAACTCATGAAAACATTCTTCCCATTACACTGATAAACATTCATTATTTGTATAATATTCAATACTATCATTATCTTCAACCGTGGTTGGTTTTCTGACTGGACAAAGGTCTTAGCATGTCACTTCCAATGGCAATTGCTATCTACTATCAGTTTCTCTTTATCATTTCATATATCTTCCTCATTTTCTTTTATTTCTTTCGTTTGTGTCCAAACTGTGGAAGCTGCTGCTTTTATCATTACTCGGGCAGATGTATCCTGCCCAGTTTTGTTTTTAATACAGTACCTCCATCCAATCCTCTATAAAACACTATCTGAACACTTTGAATTTATGGTAATACCACTATTTACCCTATAGATACGCTTGGTGTCTTAGCGCGAACAATTGGAGAAGAGAACTTTAAACCGTTAGTGGAGGAGAGCATACAGTTAGGCTTGAAGTTAATTAATGAGGTTAATGATCCTGACCTTAGGAGATGCACGTAAGTATAAAGAGCTTATCATTATTTTTTCTCAAAATGACACATGTCATAGGGTAATTCCCACACTCATTATTATAGGCTAAATGCAATACATACTGAACTCTCCATCCTGAATTAATTTTTTTTCCGGTATATAGTACTAGTAGAACCACACACTGTACTGAACTTGGATAATCCTACTATTACTTGAACTTCCCTGCCAAAATAATGGAAGTGACCATTCTTGTGCAGTATGTAAGAATGCCACACTAACATCCCTATTTTGAGGTCCAGCTGCACCTCAGTAAGGGAGGCGTGAAGGCATTTATCCATGTAACAATTTTACAAATTTGTTTACACATTGCAGTTGGCCTATATAAATTTATAAATATTATTATTTATTTAGAATTTTGCTAGTAAAGCATTCTTGGCAACAGTCAACAAGGCTTTGCTTGGTTCATTGGCATATTAGAGGCTATTAATTTACTACATCTCTTCAAAGAACATAGAATTCTAGCAAGGTAACTGCAACTTGCAAGATCCACACGTTTGCTGAAAAATTAAAAAATAAATATATATTTTAATTTAGTTAGTAAATCATACTACTGTACATGTTTTAAGTCAGCATTTATATATGTCTAGCCTATACTAATTGGTACATAATGGCATGAAAAAAACATTAAATCCTGCCTCGCTAGACTCCATCCGTACGTGCGTAACTAGGCCTAAGGCCGCAGAGTGATGACCACCACTACACACAGCATACGGCCACTCAACACAACACACATATCCTGCAGTGCAGATAGATAGAGCCTAGGCCTACATGTATTTCGGGATTGATATTAAAATAAACTTCATTTTTCGGAAGACTACTTAGTACCAAAACCTAGTAACTATGATTTTTTTAGTATTGTTATTAAAGAACTGAAGCTTACTTGAAAGAAAAAGTATTTTTTATGCACCGATTCTCCAAAGTTCCAAATCTTCGCGGCGAAAAAAACTTGTGGCATCCATTCCATCACATGTGATTTCGAATTTCGTTAATTTGTTGAAATTTATTTACTCAACTGACAGCCATCTCATTGATTGAGGTCGGCGCGGATGAGAAAGATCGTAACATGGAGGATAAACAAGGCGATTCTACCACGGATCTAGGCCTGCCTTCCATGGAGTTGTTATTTTGATAAACAACTTAAATAACAACTCCCTGGTCTTGTTTATGACATTTTAAGGCTGAGCGAGCGCCATAGTATATTGGCTTAAGATAAGAAATTTTGTATCATTGCTCTATGACATCGTGGAAATCACATTTTTCGTGAAATTTTCGGGATATTTTAAAAAATCGGGAGATTATTAATAAAAATCGGGAGGGCGGGAGACGGCCTAAAATATCGGGAGAACCCCGCAATTTTCGGGAGACTTGGGATCTCTGCACCTGCCTTGTGTCATGTCACTTAAGTGCAGAACAGGATTTTGTATATGCTATTGAGATTAATTGTTTTACACCTGATAGGTATGGCCTGTTTGCTTCTATATCCACTGTTGTGAAAGAAGAAATGGCACCACACCTTGACACTATAGTAAAGATTATGATAGACTCCCTCCAGTCAACAGAAGGAGTAGTGGTAAGTTCTTGATAGCAAGTTCTCATTTTCTTGTTTATAAAAACTAATTAGGATTAATTAATTTAATTTGAAATGGAACTGTTCATTAAAAATATAAAATAAATAATAGTCTATTGAGACTGTTTTTTTAATATTGTTATTATGAAATTGTGTTTTTAAAATTTTGTTCTACTTATTCTAGACTCATTTTAAAGAGGATGAGAATGAAATGTTACAGGTTTTTGGTGAGGATGATGGGGAGGTAGATGAGGAGGAAGATATTAGCATAGAAGGAGAGGACAATGAAGATGATGAAGATATAGAAGGGTATATTAATTTCGTTTTTTAATGACAATATGATTTTTAAGCTTTAGTATGTGAATCCATATTTCTACGTTCATTCGGCTCAATTAAGTTATCTATTCATTAAAATATATTTAATACATTGTGTAAATTGTATATCTACAGATACAGTGTTGAGAATGCATATTTGGAGGAGAAGGAAGACACCTGTAATGCACTGGGTGAAATAGCAGATAATTGTAGGTATGACAATAAAAAGTAATATTGTTCTATGGGGCTTCCATCCCAAAATCAGCATCCATGACCCAAAAAATAAAATTGACTTTTTATATTTAATATTATCTACAAAAAAAATTTTAAAAGTGATGGGTCGTTTACTGGAGTTTACTTAATATTGCCAAAGTTATGTGTAAAAGGAAAATGACTTTACTGTACAAAAGTATACAATGCTTCCACATTCCTAATGTATGTTAATTTATGCTGGTTTTTGGAATAGCATGCCTCATATATATTCTAAGCATTCAAGCTTTTGCCAATGGCCAATCTTTAAGCCGTATTGCTTTCATAAAACTGCTACTATACTGCTCTTTAAAATCTTGGAGCCAAGCCTATTCCAGTTGTGCCTCCCTAGGCCCAGGTTACTACACTCTATTCATATATAAACGTATAACTCCAATGGTGCATTGAAATTTTAAAAATTTAGAGGCAAAACAGGGTGGGGGAGACACGTGCCCCCGTGCCCCATCCCCCTACTGGATCTGCCGCCGAACGGCATCCTAATCCTAATAGTAAGTCCTACCATTTTGGCTGCGCCTGATGGTGGATCATACCATTTCTGCTGAGCTAGGCATTTAGCAGCTTTGTTAATCAGACATAGAGTATCATGAATAGCCTGTGTTTTGGTTTTTAGCAATGCTACACAACCATTTTTAAAAATTTACATTTTGATTACAGTTTAGCATTTCTGCCACATATTGATGAATGTTTCTCTGAAATCATGAAATTGATCGAGTATCCGGCCAGCAACATCCGGAAGGCTGCCCTCTGCTGCATGGGTTCAATCTGTCGGGTTTTGTCAAGAGCACAGGGAACAATTGACAATGGAGGTGAAGGTAGGCCATGGATACAGTCCTTTTCTCTCATCTACTAAGCTCATTTAATTTCTGTTTTGGGTATTTTAATATTTAAATTTCTTTTCTTTATGCAGATTATCAAAATTTCTTTGACAAAAAAAATTGTATGTCCATATATAGTTACAAATGTAAAGATAAATTTAGGATGATAATCTGTAACTTAATGCTTTAACTAGGCTGTAATTCGCACAGGCGTGGACTAACTGAATCATGATGTGCCTATGGTTATATGTGATGTCATAACCATATTGAGGCATGTCGCATGTTTTTGTAAAATAAAATTTGGTAAGAAGTTAAACTTGAAAAGTGCCATGGAAAAAAAAACCGTAAAGTTGGAATCCCCAAAGTACTCTGTTGGGGCTCTTGTGGTTTACCATATGTCGACAACCACTTACAGAGGGTGCAGTGCATGAACTACATAAACTTATTTATGGCTATGTTCTCACACGGCTGCTAACGGTTAGCAGGATCCGGATCATGCTAACCGTTAGCTGCTGTGCGTTCATAAGAGAAAATCCCAATCCAGATACCAAGAATATGATGATCGAATCACTGCCCAATAAGAAACTGGAAATTGTAAACGCGTACGTGTGATTGGTTGATGATAGAAATGCACTCACTTGCTAACCAATAGCGCTTGCTAACCGTTACCGGTTTTCCGGATACCGCTAACGGTTAGCTCCGGATACTAGGTCTCTCGAGAACCAGGCTAATATCCATTTTATGTATTTTAATGAAGTATGTCTCCTTGTCTTGCAGTATTTGCAAAGGCCTTGGAGAAGGTTATACCTTGTTTTATCAACGTCATCAACACAGACTCTGAAAGGACAGTCGTCATGGCAACACTAGAGACAATAAATGAGATGCTGAAAGAGGGCAGCAGATCAATGGTTTCTGAGCAAAGTCATGTGTCAAGTATCACAAGTGCAATAAGAAATGTACTGCAATTAAAGGTGAGAGGTCAGCAAAATGTTATTCTATTTTTATTTCCCAGTCTGTGTTATTTTCAGTCCTATCTCTTAACCCTTTCACTGCGTGTACCCGGTAATACCGGGTATAAACATATACTGTTGAATTGCACGTACCCGGTACTACCGGGTATGTAGAAAAAATATTGTTAAAAATCAGGAAGAGGTTCTGCGCCCTCTATAGTTTTTTTTTTATGAACTATAATTAACCTTTTATCAGAAAAAAGTGTTTTCAAGTGGTTAGGCGCAAAATGGCGGGTGCACGGCCTCAAAACAGACGGTACAATGTTGACGAAGCTATGGACCAGATCTTTGCAGATACGGATAGTGGAGATAACTTTGAATTGGATGATTCTTGCATTTCTTTTCCCCCAGTCGACTATGATAGTGACGACAGTGATTCTAAGGACGAAAACTATTATTCTCTCAACTTGGGAGGCCCTGCACAGGGTCAAGGTGGCAATGCCTTGTCCGCAGATTTCCTTTCCACATTTCACACAATAGAACAGGCTAATTTTTACAATAAATACAATACATTTTATAATAAAGTAACCGTATGATGTTTGCAACGATGCATTTATATTTACAATCTGGATTATATAAAGCATAAATAAAAACAAATGGCAAAAAGTACATCTAACAGTGATTTTCTGCAAAATTTTATATTTTCACAATTTTGAAGAAAAACTTTGATTATTTGCGGTTTTGAATAAAACGATCAAACTAACTCATTTTTTTTTTGTTTTTATTCATCTTGTGTGTCTGCATCATCATAAAGTAAAAAAAAAAAACATTCCATAAAAATTTCATTGGGAAAAATTGGGTTTTTTTATCAAAATTTGAGAAAAAACAGAAATTAAAAATGGCGACTTTGAGGTCACATGACTACCTAATTATGCAAAATACCAAATATCAATGTTCCTCGCGTAGGCCAACCTATTGCTCGCCCCAACAAAGAAAAAGAATTTCGAAATAACCTCTTTTAGTATTTTTTTTGAATTATTTTAAAAATTAACTTTTTTCGTTAAAAAAAGTCCCAGCACAGGGGGTGCATATACCTACAGCAGTGAAAGGGTTAAATCTTATATGTGAAAATGAATAAAGTTAAGTTTAATCTGTCAACACAAGTGCTATTCTTATGCCTTTTGCTTTTGTATTAAAAAAAAAATAATAATAAATTATTTTCAAAATAATGAACTTTGAAGTACTTAAAGTTAATGATGGTAAATTGCAGAAGTGGGAATGTAGTTTGTAACTTCTTTACCTCTCCCATTTCAAATTCCATGCTTTCCCTTCCCCTCACAGATATGGTAAAGTTCACTACCTGAGATTAGGTTTATAGAGTGTCAATTCCAATTTCCATTCATCATTTAAGAAGCAGTCAGTAGTGCTATGTTTGTGGCTTGCACTCTCAACCTCTACCTTGGGAGTAAAAAAAAAACCCTTCATTGTGCAAGTCACTTTAAGAGTTTAAGTATTGGCATATGCTGAGAAGGTAAAATGACTTGTGCTGAAGAGGTGGCAAATACCCCCACCCCCACCCCTCCATGGTACCATCTCCCACAGCATTGCACATTCTGGCCCAAACATCAGCCCACAGATTAAGTTTCAAATTATCTTTTCTTACATTCTCTAAAAACTGCTATCCATTGTCACTAATTCGACACTTTTTCAAAGAAAAAGATAACATCTTCAATCTTTTTACACACAGCTAACCCTCTAATCTTTAATTTTCAAGTCTCAAAGTGATCTTGAATTAAAGCTTGAAATTTTAGGTGCTTAAATCCTGAGTTCAAATTTAGTGATTTTGATATAGAGATATGTATGGCAGCATAATAACAGACTGCAGTACTTTAAATCAACAATGAGAATAGTTAATCATATTATCACAACCAATCACAGACACTGGGAGAGATAAGGAATAAGTATTATTTTTCTCCTGTGACAGACAGCTTGCCAAGATGAGGATGATGAGGAGGACTACGATGAGGACCCTCAGCAGGCGGAACATGATGAAATGTTGATTGAATATGCAGGTGAAATCATCCCGTCCCTGGCAAAAGCAATGGGTGGCCAGGCTTTTGGCCCATACTTAGCAGGAGCCCTGCCACTTCTTGTAATGAAGACGGTGTGTATTAATATAAATATTTATTTTTGTTGTTTGTATAGTATTATATTCGACATTAGTATTATTATCATAATATCGTAGATGTAATATTTTTTTTCATAGTTGTAGTCTTCACTACTGTTTTTATTTTTATTATCATTTTCATTATTGTTGTTGTTATTTTTAGTATTATATTTCGTGTCACAATCCAATTATCTTTTGTCCTGATATTTTTGTTTTTTAATGGATTTTTCAACTTACTGGCTTGCATTAAAAATAAATCATGCTTGAAAATAGATGCTTATCGCATTCACCCTGTTTGTGTATCTCAGAGCCAGCAGTCTCTTTTAGGCAGATATATGTCTGCTAACAGGTACAGTTGCCTGGAATCGACTTACTATTGCCAAAGTTATGAGTACAAATATTTCAGATTCTCTCTATTAAAGTATAACATACAGCCACATTCCTACGCTAATTACTCAGTCTAACATTGTGACAGTATGCTGGTGTTGGGATGGCATGCCTCATATTATCAGAGTGTAATGAGACTCTATTCAATATCAAAGCCAGTTTCTTTCTCTTTAGAAAAAGTCCTGCACCGTAGCGGAGAAGTCATTTTCAATTGGCACTCTCTCGGAAACGATCATTGCAATGGAAGATTGTATTCAGCCGTTTGCCGGTCACCTCGTTCCCGTCTTTGTCCAAGGTATGCAGGAGGATGATGCAGAAGTACGCAGTAATGCAGTATTCGGTATTGGTGTGCTAGCTGAGCATGGAAAAGAAACTGTTTTCTCGTATCTTTTAATAGATTTTGTAGGATTTGCTAGACTCGCTGTACCAGCAGTTTTTTGTTTAAAATAATATAATGAATCATTCTAAATTTTTTAATAATCCTTTGTGTATAAAAACATCTTATAAAATGAATATAATTTTTAATGGAATATGTAGCAATGTTGTTTTTCTTTCGCTTTACTGTTTTTGCATTAGCTGCCAGTGGCGGATCTAGGGATTTGAAGTAGAGAGGCCCCCAGGGAGGGACTGTCACAAATGGAAATTAGACCACCTCAGCAAAAATACCCAGCCCCACCATATTTGTGGCTGAGATAAGAAAATTTATGATTATGGTACCTCTAGAATGGCACTCTCAGACGTAAATTTGATTAACATTTTCCTTTTTTATCATTTTTTTTTTTTTTTCATAATTTTGACAAACTTGGGGGCCGGGGGAAGCTCGGTTCCCTCTTGAATCTGCCACTGGCTACTGTATTTCTTAGGCTGTTTATCTGTTTTCTTAACTTCATTCATAAATTAGACATTACCCAGTCTTATTAAGTGCTATTTCAAGTTTAATTGCTAAGGAAGATGACCAACGAGTAATTGACAACATATGCGGTGCTGTTGCGAGACTGGTGTTGACCAACACTGAAGCAGTTCCTGTCTCCCAGGTACTTGAGGCCTATCAAATGACCTGGATTTTAACCTGTCTATAACTAGTTTTTTTTAATTGTATGTAGACGTCATCTAATTTGTGATACAATTCAATTGTACTTTTTAATGGAACCATTCTTTGATTGCCGAGGCATACTGTAGAACAAGGCATAGCAATCATCCGTTACATTAATTCTAATAATAATATATGATTTATATAGCGCCTTTCCAAATTGATCAAAACGCTTCACAAGGACAACATCAGAAATACATCATACATCAGAAAATATTAAATGAAATGGTAAAATTAATTAACCTTAATTGTGTTCATACTTTAAATTATTACAATTATTTATAGCTAACCAGGTATGGATAGGTGCGCAGGTGTATGTAAATTTACATTATGGACATACATTACTTGCACGAATAAGCGCCCCTCTCGAATAAAATATTTGAATAAACTCCCCCTCAATAATTCAATCAATTCTGGACTGTGGATGTTGGCATGATTTCAGGTGTTGAGTGGAATCAAATTCTCCTTTAGTCAATATCAAAATGAGGATATTTATCTTGGACAGATGAGAGCTCTCTGGATAGACAGTATATTTCCAACTTTCATCTTCTTACATTTTTTTATAGCCTAGTCCTACTGCTTTTCCGAAAATTTGCACCTAATAACGCATTCTCATCTGAGTTTTCAAGAAAACCTGCAATGATCATGCATTTCTGTTAATCTCTTTCGGTCGATGGCCAACAAGTAACCACCACTGCTAATTTCATCTGCTATTCTGCTGTTATGTAATAATGCACTAACAACATTCTTGTCATGACAAGCCATGCTCTCTGGACGATTATCTTTTCCGCAGCACCACCATTCGTAATTTGCGGTTTCCTGATGTCCTTATATAATCATTTTTCATTCAAAATGTGCCTCTTGAATTTAATAAGTTGTCATAATAACCCCTCGATTTTCATCTATTTCCATAAGCGCCCCCTTAATTTCCACTTTGTTTTGATAAGGGCCCCGTTCGAATAAGCGCCCCGTTTGAATAAGCGCCCCTCAAAAAGTGCAAACAAATATTTTAAGCACCCAGGCGCTTATTCGTGCGAGTAAGGTAACTGTATTGTCAGCATGGTGTCCAGCAGGGCCCAGTCCCAGCCATCAGGGAAACCTGCCCCAGTGATCGGGAAGTTGTACTTAACTCTTTGGGAAAATTTATTAGAATTATTTTATAAGCCATAGTTGGCTGATCTAATTGTCCCAACCATGGCGGGACTGAGGTGGGTGAGCCCCAACCACAGCGGACAGAGGTGGGTGCGGCCCATCTTCCAGAGAACCATGGACCCAGAGAAATATTGATCCCACTGCTGATTTGTCAGATGTGGTTTCAAGCTGGCTTGGAAGAAAGCATTTTGTGCCTCAGACCATGAAAATCATTATGATAATGCTGTATCTTTACACTCAAAAACATTAGTGGTTTTGAGCCATCAAAAAATTCTAAAAGTTCCTTTTGGTGAAAAGCTTAATGCCCACAAGCACTTTATAGCCCAACAGTAGTTTTCTGGTTTAAGAAATAAAAACCAAAAAAAAAAAAATTATAAAATTGCCTCTTTGGTAATGCTCGATGCCCCCGACTGCCGATCCTGCGGTCACGCACATTTTCAAGACTTGGTGCAACAAAATGCTTTATATATTTTATCACTTTTTAAAAATTATTTATTAATTATCAATTCTCTTAGGTTCTTCCACGGCTTGTTCAACTGCTGCCCTTGAAGGAGGACAAGGAAGAGAACAACACAGTGTTCCGCTGCATCCATCATTTGTACGGTACCGCTCATGAATCCATCCCACCGCTTATTCCACAGCTGCTTTTGGTCTTTGCGCAGGTGCTAGGTACTACAGAAATCAATGAAGGTACAGTACCATTAAACCAGTTTTCATGTTAATATTATCATTTTTAATGATCATTGTTAATGTTGATAAAAGTAAAGATTTGATATGTTTAAAATTGTTTTATTCCTCTGTAGTTTCATGTAGAAACCTTCTGCTCTACAGCGTCATCCTAAACAAAATTGCTAGCCTTAGCCATTTTAAGTAAAAGCAACCCCTTTTCAAGTAAATCATTAATTTTTCAGGCTGAACATTGGATATTTTGTAAACGATTATCACCAAATGAAGTCAACTGGCTATAATTACAAGACATATATGAAAATGACGTTTTTAACAGATTTTAATGCTCTTTCAACAGTGACGCAGGGGCTCATTATTCAAATCGTTCAGAGTGTTCACAATCAAAATCCTGATGATTTCAATAAGCTACTGTCATCCTTACCGCAAGACCTTGCAAGCAGGCTCTCAGCTGTAGCATGCTGCTCATCGTAGCAGTAGTGAGGACAAGCTGGCTCCCAACTGTGGCTTGCTGCTCATCGTACCAGTAGTGTGGACAAGCAATTCTCTCAGCTGTGGCATGCTGTTTATTGTAGCAGTAGTGTGGACAAGCAGACTATTAGCTGTGGTATGCTGTACATTGTAAACATCAGTTGGGTGGCATGCTTAGAAGTTACATGGACAAGCCGACTACCAGTTGTAGCATGCTGCTCATCTTAGCAGTTCAGTGCTACAACCATCAGTTGTAGCATGCTGTTCATTTTAGCAATTACATGGATAAGCAGACTATAAGTTGTAGCATGCTGTTCATCTTAGCAGTTACATAGAAAAGCAAATATTAGCTGTGCATGCTATTCATCTTAGCAGTTACGTTGATAAGCAGACTATTAGCTGTGGCATGCTATTATCTTTAGCAATTACATGGATAAGCAGACTATAAGTTATAGCATGCTGTTCATCTTCGCAGTTATATGGAAAAGCAAATACTAGCTGTGCATGCTATTCATCTTAGCAGTTACATGAATAAGTAGACTGTTATTAGCTGTGGCATGCTATTATCTTTAGCAATTACATGGATAAGCAGACTATCAGTTGTAACATGCTGTTCATCTTAGCAGTTACATGGAAAAGCAAATATTAGTTATGCATGCTGTTCATCTTAGCAGTTACTTGGATAAGCAGACTATTAAATGTGACATGTCATTCATTTTAGTAGTTCCATTGATAAGCAGACTACAGTTAAGCTTGCCTAAGTCGACTTCGCCTAACTTGAATAATTTCTAAGTTGATCTTATTTTACATGCCAAATTGTTGTGGTTTCCATAATTAACGATCTGCAAGTCAAATTTTATCCAAGTCAAACAATTTTTCAATGCCAGTTTGACTTTAGGCAAGTTCTACTGTATTAGCTGTGCCACGCTATTCTTCTTAGCAGTTACACGGGCAAGCAGACTATCAGCTGTGACATCCTATTCATCTCTCTGCTATTCAATTTTCCTGATCATCTCCAAGGAGGATTAACCAAATCATCGAGAAGAGGAAACTTTAATAAAATAAACTTAATTAATTGAATAATTCTTAATTGTATTTATGATTATTTTTCATATTAGGATGATAGGAATGCACAACTCATTTAAATATTACCAAAGTTTTCTGTCATTTTTTAGAATAATGTGTAAAATTTTCATTTTTTATACCAGACAGTATGATAGATCATGTGCATGTTAAAATTAATGAAATAAGAATGTATGTATATACACGTGTTGGTGTTAATTGTGACACTGCCACACCAAAATACTTATACTATTATTTATGGTGAGCCAACATTTATCTTGCAATCCTGTTAAAATGCAAACATCCTTAAGTTTTAAATTGCAATCATTTTCTCTGAGTGTTAAGGATGCACTGTCTGTAAAGAGGAAAATTCAAAAATTAGCTGGTAAATCAATTTAAGGGTTTTTGTAGTAAAATGTGTCTAATAAGCATAAACCATTTTTGTTTCTGATTGGAACTTGGCAGTTAATGACTTATTTGATAACTTCAAATAAGCTTATAAATATTACATTTTTTTTTTTTTTTTTTTTTTTTTTTTTTTTTTTTTTTTTTTTTTTTTTTTTTTGGCAGACAATGCCTGAGCTGGAAAAAGTTGAGGAAATGTCCTGGAAGCATTTTTCGGAGAAAAAAATTTAAAATAATAAACTGTTGGGCAATATAGTATACAGATAACGTTTGGTGCTGGAGAAGTTTTATTTAGACAATTTTCATGGTCGGAGGCACAAATATTTTTTTTCAAGGGCTGGACAATGCATAAGAAAAATTGCACTTTCTTCACTATATCTTACACACCAAATGATGTAATAATAGAAAGTTAGCTTGAGGATGAGGGTGTAAGGGTCTTTAGGTGTGAGTCTGAATCGTGGTGGTGACACTTCCTAAGTAGTATTTAATGACAACATTATCAATTGATATTTTAAACTTGATCACGGACAGTATTTTTGGTGCATTTTATAAAATTGTTAAAGATTAAATATTATAGATAATGTTTATTGAAATTAAATATTTAATGAATTGAGTATAATAAATCAATTGTGTTCATCTGCAAAGTTCAAAATTGTCAGCCATTGTTTTCTACAGCTCAAATTTAGGAACAAATGGTGTAATAGATTTATGCATAGCCCTTCAATGAAAAAGTTCCTTTAAAAGTTGTGCGAAAAAACGTCCCCAGCAAAGCTGCAACCTCTTGATAAGGCGAGTGCCATACCTCTAGACCATGTAAACCTATTTTTATTGTCACAGACAGGGGCGGGTCCAGAGTAAAGTCTGGGTAGGTGCCATTCAACGTGCAGCAAGTTTGAGATCTTTGTTTAGAAATACTTGACCATAAACACTAGCACATGGAATTTCAATAAAAAATTACCTGAAGGACCCCTCTGGAAATATATCTGCAAACTTTTGCCAATTTTTATAAAGTTGTCAGCCAAACACCTTTATTAGATATACATACAGTATATGCTGTACATATGAATTGATAGGCAGCAATGCTGTGGGAAGCGATGGCTGGATCTCGGTTGAGATACGAAATTGATAGGCAAAGGCTAAAATATAAATGTAAGTTAAACAGGCAAAGAAAGAGAATCGGAGCTTTCAAACAACCAATGTCCTTCATCAGTGGCAATTGATATAATGTATTTTTTATTTTTGAAAGTATTTTTTGAGGTATATTTTGTGATTTCACCATAGATTATAATGTATTCAAAGATATACTGCCAAATACATCTATTAAACTTATAACATTTATTAGCTTTCTTTTTATATTATCTTTCAAAAAGAACAAGAAAAATAATTCTGCGCTAATGAATAAACCTAAAATAATGTTACAAGTATTCGCATATTGACCCCGATATTGGAATACATTGAAATAATTTTGTCTCTTTTATAAATTTATAACTAAACAATTTTTTTTTTAATTTACAAGCTGCTGTTTAATATTTTTTGGCTGGCAGTATATCTTTAAAATTTAAATAAATTCAGTATTTTACTTTAATTTTGAAAGGTTTTCAGATTTTATCACAGACAGTATATCTACAGAAAACCTTTTACTCATTTTGTTTAATAAAATCTGCAACATTATCATGTATTCAAAGTTTCTTGGTTTACTGTTTTGTGTATCAATCCAGCCCCAATTTATGTACAGTAGTTGTAATTTATTCTTTATTACCGTCACACTCCAACAACATGAAGCCAAGTCGCGAATAATTTTTGAAGGGGTGTGCATCCCCCTCCCCGTCCGCACTGATAAAAAGTAATGACTAACCTCTAATGTGTCGCACCACGCATCACAATGCTTACGACTTTTTCTATTTATTTCCTCAACTTCGCGTAGTGATTTTAATGAAACTAGAGCTTCCAAAATTGCCGGTATCACCTGAACACAATTGTACAGTACTAACTAAAGCATCTAATAGAGGCAATTTAAATGCAATATCAACCACTTTACAATATAATGGTTTAGCTTATATAAAATGTTCTAGTGTCTACGATAAAAGTGTAATTATTATGAATACAAAAATCGTTTAATAGGTATCTCAAAAAGAATAGTCAAAAATTCTATAATGAATGATTATAGTATATCAGTGGCATAACGCCAATGCGCTCTCGTGCAGAGGTGGTCCGGAGGCCCCATAGGGTCCTTCATACAGCATCCTGACCCAAAGGGCCCCAAATAGGTCCTACCCTTAGAGGCCTCGAATTCCTGTCGCCTAAACTTGACGAATTAATCTAGACCCATCTCCAGCAGCATGTCTTAAAATCATTTGTTTATAGGCCTATGTTTTTAATGAGACAAAACAATGAAAATACTGTACCGTATAAAAATGAATTCCATTCAATCACTAACGTATTTGTTGACATCGAATGCAGACAAAAAAAAATGTTAATATGTCTATGTCGTACAACCAGCGTGACCACTGCTTGGGTATTTACCCAAGAACTTGGGTATTTTGACTGGGTCTTGTTCTTGGTATTCTTGGTATTCCGTTTAAATCCTTGGGTATTTTATTTTACTAAGAAAATTAAATATTTTTGTCATAGAGGAAGAATTAAGAAGTAACAAAGTATATTTCAGTCCATTCAAGTAAGCAAAACTCAACGAAGTGCACATAACATTGTTAATTGACTGTTAATTGCTATAAACTTGGGTTCAGAAGAATTGTTTATTTGTTATTTGCGTTGCAATTGATCTTACCTAATTAATGCATTACATAATAAAACTTGATCACAGATAACACTGGCCGACTGAGGGCGTATTTTTCTATCCGTATTATTACCTCATGAATATTAATTTTAATAATTAACACAAACAACTGCAATAAGAAATGGTTTATAAATTGAACTAAAAGGGATACTATACATGCGAAAAACATTTTTCAAATTTTAATGCATTTTCAGGAAGCTTTGGTAATTTTGGGCAATTTTTGTTGAATCTTGTTTAAAATTTCGACCCAGTCATTGGGTATATCAAAAAGTGTGTCCACGCTGCGTACAACTGATTTCTTAGTCTGGTTCACGTCGAACTTTATCTGGATATACCCGCCTTGAAACATGATACGATAATTAGTACGGCAGCTTAGGGCCATATTTGGACTTAATGTGGACGTTCTGGACAAAAGCACCAATTTTTTTTTACATGCTCCTTATGGTCATAGCATTCAATTTTTGGTAGGAACCACCTCATCCGAGGTCATTATGGCAGCCATCTTGGATTTCAAAATGGCCGCCTAATAAAACCTATGTTTATCTATATCTCCGCTTCTAAGCCACTTGGAATTATAATTATAATGTCTAAGACTATGTTTCTATGATCGAGGAATACCATCATATCATTTTTGACCTGGTCAGATTGCCACAAATGGGTCATGTAAGGTCATTTAAGGTCATTCAAGGTCAAATATTGTATGGTATCTTTAAAATTACGTAATTGTCAA